CCATAATCATTCAGTTACATACTTTGAATTCTCTTGCTTATTGTCTCTGGAACTCATCTCCACAGCTTTTATAATTATCTCTCAATAGTGTATAAGCTTGTTGATGATAGCTATCATATGATTCATACCTTTTAAAAAATCTGGCTGTGTCACAGGTTGTATGGCCTTCAGCAAATCTAAAGCAGGAGTAAAAACCTACCCTTATGGTCGTTATGGAGGTAGAGAGCATGTGAAGTACCTGGCAGAAGAGCACATGAATGCGCCTATAGCAAGTGCCACATTGGCTTTCTAGAACCCAGATCATAAACATTAGGAGGTAGCTGGTGTTAAGTGCAAGAAGTAGGTAGAGCTGGTAAACTGAGAGGCAGTTTTCCCAAGAAGAGATCTGAGATAACTTGCAGAAGCAATACAGATCAGCTCATGGTTTCATAATTTAAACCATTAGGGTTTAATCATTAAATCTATTTAATCATTAATCTATTTATTGAATGCTTGTCAGCAGAGTGCTGCGTCCTGGCCTGTGGACTAGGTAAATGTAACTGTAAGAAAGTTTCTACCCTCAAAGAGCTAGTAGTCAATACTGAAGTGTGCTTCAAGACAAAAGGAGTGAGTCTGAAGAGGCTCAGTGATGGGGAGGTACAAGCAGAGGGTTTCACTGAAATTCAGCAGAGTCTGAAATAAAGGGTTTAAGACTCACTCTTTAGTGGATAGTATTTAGATCCATAATAGCAAACTTTTATTCTCTAAAAATACTTGCACTTACATAACCAAATGTTTCAAATACTACATCTTGGGTTTGATGTCCTGTAAATAAGAATCACTAGGAATGAAAAATGTATTTATTGTATCCTCAGAAATATTAAATAATCATGTTGCGATTTCTTTCTATGCTTAGAGACCTTTTATGTTATGGTATGATCCACCTATTTGTTTTTTTAAAGCCAGAATTACAGTATTTCAATGTACTTAATGTTTAAGCAGGTCAAGAAATTTTCCTCATGCAAAATGGTTGGAAGGTATTAAAATGAATCAGTAGGAAGTGAGAGTTAGTCTTGTGTAGCCCGGATTGAGACATTCTTGTGCTTTATGGTTCTTTTCTGCTATTCCTTTAACAGAAGCCCAAATTCACCTTGCCTCTTTTCTTGTCTTAGTCATCAGTCTGGGGGCTCCTCCCCCGCCCTCATGCCCCAAACACCCATACACAAAACACCAGGATAATGCTCTCTGTTTCCTCCCTCCTCACCCCCACTCACTTTGTTCTACATTTGCTATAACTCTAGAAACTACTTTTTTCATGAATAGCAAATCCCTCTATAATTTTCAGTGTTTTCCTAGTATTTTCTTTTCCACTTCCTTGCCTTACATCATTTATATCCTCTCACACTTCAGGGTTTGGAAGGTCAGCTTTGTTCTCTTTACTGATTTCCAACGTTGTGTTGCTCTATCCTTTTTGTTTTCTTTTAATCTTTGCTCCCCTAGAGTTCCTGTCTTTTTGCTTGAACCAGCCTTTGGTTAGTCCTCACAGCTGTCATCTACTGCACAGCCTCATGGCCACTCTTTCATGTTCATTGAAGACTTTGTGAGGGGGCTTACCATTTTCTTCTGCAACCTAAGCTCTTCATGATCATAGCTTACTGGTTGTGCAATGATGTGGGAAAACACCAGGTTAGACACCCTGGGCTTTCAGTTCCTTGACGACCTCATTTCTAGTGACCTTCACCTGTCACCATCAATTTGCTAATGCCCCCTCCTTTAAAATTGTAAATTTGCACATTTCATTCTGACCACAACCACCTGGTTGTGCTGCTCTTGTCATGACCTTTGCTTGACCTGTAGAACTCAGCTTTCTTCTCCCAGCCCATCAGTACTTTTATATTTTATTTTTTAAAATCTAGTTTAGAGTTTATGACTTGTAATTTTTACTTCCTCCTTCATTAATACCTTCAGCTACCTTGTCTTTCTGCTTTCTTTTTGCACCTGTTGGGTAGAAACTTAACCCTGGATGAGGTACTTAATGTCTTCTCTGTGCCTCTTCCCATATTGCTGAACTTTGCTAGAGAAAGTCACATAGAAATGCAGGTTGATATCATGATAAGTTCATTGTTACAAATCTTAAGTGAGCTCTCACTATTATCCATTTTTTTTTGTTCAAATCATTTTCCTTTGTGCAGAGATTACTGAAAACTTATTTGCTTCACCAACTTTTTACTTTCCTCATTCACCCTCAGTTTCAGCAGGTAACTAGCTGCTTGCTGTGTTGTGGAGATAATAAGAAGCCAGCCATTAGGAATTCTCATCTTCCGGCTCCTGAACATATAAATCTGCCTCCTATTACGGTATAAGAGCCAGTCTTCTACCTTAGTTCAGTTTCCACCTGTGCTTTAGATCCCATCCCTTTCTACTTTCTCAGAAATTCTAAAATACCTAAAATGATCTTTTCTCTTCCTAGTACTTTCAAACAGCCCCTTTTATTTTTCTCTTTTTCCGTCAGCCGATCCATACCCCTCTGGCTGCCATTCAACCACATTTCTTCCTTTCCAGCTATACTTTTTAAGAGAGTCACTTGAACACATCTATAATCTCTTATGTACAGCTTTTGAGACCAGAATTGATTCAGAATTCAGAATTTTTTGGGTTTAGGAAAGCATTAACATGTACATCCCATCTATAGTGTGAGCCCTGTAGTCATCACATTGTTATTTCTTCACTAAAATTTATAGATTTCCAGCCCTGGCCAGTGTCGCTCAGTTGGTTGGAGCATTGTGCAGTAGACCAAAAGAACACGGGTTCGATTCCCAGTCAGGGCACATACCTGGGTTGCGGGTTCAGTCCCCAGTTGGGGCGTGTACTCCATTTGGGGTGTATATGAGAAGGCAAGCAATTGAGGTTTCTCTGTCACATCAATGTTTCTGTCTCTAATCTCTATCCGTCTGTTTCCCTTCTTCTCTAAAAAACAATGAAAAAAAAAATGTCCTTGAGTGAGGGTTAAAAAAAAAAATTATAGCTTTTCACTACAAGTGGGGTAAATAAGGGCTATGAATAGCCTCATGTTGGTCCCGGTCAGGCTTTGCTTCCGAAAGAGTTATTAAATGGAGCAAAACAAAGCAAACAAAAAACGCTTAATTTTTCGGAGATTTTGTCTTGAAATAATGGATAAGAGATCATGGAGATGGGCAGAGGTAGCAACCTTTGTTTTCTTACCTTCCTTGAATTTCTTTTAACCCATTCTGGCTTTTACTTCCCTCACTTCTCTCAAATGGTTATTGCTAAAACTCTGCCAATGACCTTTGTCTAAAAGGACCATCTCACTAGGTATTATTTGCATGTTTTCAGCCATTATTTACGTGACTGGTGATACCAGCTCCATCAAGCACTCTCTTCTTGGCCTTCTGTCACTGTCCTTTCCTGGCTCTCCCCTGGCACCTTTTTACTGGCCCGTTGTCCTTTGTCATCTTTCATTTACATGCTGGGTTATTCCAAGGCCTTGTTCTAAGGCCACTGGTCCTCTTCCTGTACATTCTGTCCCTTGGTGATCTCATTCCTGTCTGTGCCTTCAGTGCCTTCAACTACTGATTGTGTGCATATAAACCATAAATACACACTTTAGCCCAGACGTCTCCTTTCAGCCTGACCCTTTAGTTTATCCTGTCTTTCTTCCTGTCACTCATTTGTATACATCATTTTGGTGACTTTCAATTCTTTTCAAACAAACTTTGGGCTCTGGTAGGGCCTTAAGGCCCTGCACTGCCTGGCCACGGCCTCTTCCTCCCATTTAATTGTGCTCCTTCTCCCCTTCTACTTAGACTCCCTCTGAAATAACCATGCTGCCTCCTACACGAGGGCCGATATGCAAGCTGCTCCCTCTAGTCAGAATGCAGTTGATTCTTTCTATGCAGTTAATTCTTACTCATTTTTTGCATCTTTGCTTGACTCTCACTTTTCTATGTAAGCCCTCTAATTCAGGTGCTCTATCACAAAATCTTATGGCACCCTATGCAGGTTATAACACTAATAATAGTTTTGATCTTACTTTTATTTTTTGAAATAACTTAATACCTTTTCCCCACTAGACTGAGTTCTCTCAGCACAAGGATTGTGTCTGCTTTTGTTCACTGTTGTATTTCCAGCATAGTGCTTGGCATATGGTAGGCAAATAACAAGCATTTTGAATGAATGTTGTATGTTAATTTGTCTCTTCTAATTTTAAAGTTGTGTGTGTGCGCGCGCACACACACATGCACATATTTACCAGTGTAGCATGTGCAGTTTCTGTGGTTTTATGTGTATCCGCTTCTGATGGCATTCTTCTGGAAAATTATAAAGATACATGCTAAAGAATTCCATGAACTACATAATTATTATATATATTTAAAGAACCCAATGCATTGTTTTACTTTGATGTAGCTCCTAATTTATTCTCTTCTGTGTTCTTAATTTACTATTTCTACTTTGACCTCTTCCCCATATTCTTTACAGATAGCATATGTCTTACTAAGTCTATTTTACTACTGTGTGCAAGTAAAATAGATGCAGTGTTCAACACAATTCAACAGACTCAACTTTCTCATCAGTTTATAGGTATCACAGGATTAAAAATAGTTTAGCCATCTGTTAACTGACTGAACAATTTTAGTATTGTGAAAGGGCGTGGTGGGAGAGGGAGATAGAGGGTCTTCGTGTATTGTCAGAGCAAGGCTTAGTGCAGAAACCGTCGTGTGACCTCTTAATAATGAAACTTAAGAGTCAATTCAAAATTAGGAAGAGATTTGGTGGAGGTTAAGCATAACAAAGACCTGATATAGGGGATTTTCCAGAATAGAGTGACAAGAGAATTTTTTCAGCTTTTTAATATTTCACTAAAATTTCTTAGAGAAAAGATACATGTTTATAAAGACATGAGTCCTGTGAAATGTAATTATCATAATTTTATGTGACATATAATATGTAATATGTAAAGAAATGAACTTTAATTAGACTTTTATATTTTATTCTTTAATTAGGAAAACCAATAGATTTCCATTCATCTCGAAGTGAATCTGAAATTGTGCCAAAAGTTGCTAAAATGACTGTATCTGGAAGGAAGCAAACCATGGGATTTGAAGTGCCTGGGTAAGGTTTATAATCCCCACCTTTTTTTGAAATTATTTTGTCTCCTGCTAGACTGTAAGAAAATATATCATTAACATTGAACTATCACAGTCTTCAGTAGGTCATGATACAAAAGAAGGGGGTGAGAACTTACACTTAATTCTAGACCTATCTATGTATGTTACTTATTCTATCTCACTATCCATTTCCTCATATAATTAAATTATTTATAGCTACTTTAACAAAAAAACTGTGATTTTGTGAAATCTAACACTGTGAGATAGGGACTATTTGTGCCACTAGGTGGCGTAGGTAAGCAGCATTTGGGAATTTCATGGACTGTTGTTGGTTAACCATGGAATCATTTATTAAATTTTTTTGCTAATATCTTTAAACTCTTAGATTTTCATATTGAGTAAAATGTATCAGTGTTACAAAGTCATAAAATATAAAATGAAACATACCTCAAGTTTCAAATATCTAGTGAAAAATGATAAGTCATACATTAGTAATGCCCATTATTTGTTCCCTCTCATCAGTCTCCAGAATTCTCCCCGGAGTTTTTATAGACAAAGGAAGTGGATTGCTTGAAGCTTAGCAGCACAGGTTGAAAACACTAACTTTTAGCCTCTTTAAAATGTTTTAGATTTTTAAATCATTCCCTAATTTTTTACGTACATATATTTTCTTTGCCAGTTAGATAGATAAGAAACAGTGTTACCAAATATAAAAAATAGAAGTTTTTTTTTAACTTCCAAGAAATATACTTAGTGGACTTTTTTTCTTCTTCCTTACAACATTCTTGTAAGTCAATGGATATATCATGCCTCTTGGTTAGGAGGAATCAATGATCACCTGGTTCAATCATGTGATTTTTTAAAAGTAAGATTTTATTTATAAGATTTCAGATTTAGTGAGGGAAAGAACTCCATATCTAGGACATAATAGGTGCTTAGTATATGTTAGTTGAATGATTAGATGAATGAAAAAGTTAATTTTTAACTTGGATAAATCTAGCCCATGAAAATAATTTTGAATCCTGATTCAGTCACAAAAAGCTTAATGTATATCTTTTCTCTCTGTATTGGGATGGGGTTGTCAGAATCATAAATGTCTTTTTTTTTTTACCCTTATGTCTTAAGTGCCATTTAATCATATTATGGGATCATTTTTCTTGAGAGATAAATCAATCGATCAGTCACACAATTTCTTGTTCTAAGGATTTTGTAATCATCCTGCAAAAGGTTTCAAAAGTCTTAGAAAGCATGCCAATAAGCTTTCCAGTGTCATTTAAACAAGAAGAAAGATTAAGCCTGTAGGTTCCTGTTCCCACTTTTGAAAAGATGGTGTAGAAATAAAATGGACTCATCATTTTATTATATTAAGATTATAAAATTATATCAGAAAACAGCTGAATAAACAGACATTCAACCAACTTACTCTTCTTTTCGTATCAGTCAGTAATTAAAGCCTGAAACCCAGAATGGTAATTTTTAGACTTCATGTTAGAGATTTTTCAAGGTTTTAAAACATTAACTTTTATTTCATAAAATAAGCGGAACTTTTTTACTAAGTACAGATTTACCCAGAATACGTTTCTAATTACTTTGGTTACTTCCCGCTAACCATATATAATTTAGTGAATTAATTTTTAGTTTACCTCAGGTCTACTTGGAAAGGAGTATTACCATGAAAGTGAGAAAAAAACAAACTTTTCACGTTACTGAATTGTAAATGAAATAATCAAGTCAGACCCGTGTTTTGTGAAGCCCTTCCTATCTTGAGCAGCCCCTGCCTGGATTGGTGGGCAAGCTGCACTCCAGGCTTCTACCTACTCTGTCAACCATAGCTGTTCTGCCTGTATGTGTTTTCAATGTTGGAGTCTTGGAGTCAGCATGTTTGGAAAGGTTCTGTAACTAAAAAACAGAAGGATGTGAAGCCAAAGATTGTTATTTCTCCCAGGTCTGATTAGAACCAAAGCTTATGTGTTACCAAGCTTTGTGTTACCATATGTATTACCTTCATAATACAAAGAGAAGGGGCTGAGAAATTACACTTAATTCTAGACTTATCTATGTATGTTACTTATTCTATCTCACTATCCATTTCTTCATATAATTAAATTACTTATAGCTACTTTAACAAAAAACCCTGTGATTTTATGTTAAAATCACATATGTAACGTGCATATGTACATATGGTAACACAAATCTACACAAATTTGAATTTCAGTTATTTTACAGCATGTTTTCTTATCATAGTTTTGGTAGAAAGTTTTTCTTCTGGGATCTTCCAAGTCTGTGTTTGTGTGGTTTGGGTCTAGTTACTTACCATTTCTACCTTAATGGACTCTAACCACTTAGCAGAGGTCATTTTAGGTTTGCAAGTGTAAGGAATATGAAGAGAGAACTCTCCCTTTTTGACATTATAGGACATCAATGGAGTTGGTTTAAACACTCTTTTCCTATCTCTGCTTTCTTTAGAGTAACTGCTGAAGAAAATGGTCATAGTTTCCACACACCTCAAAAAGGACAACCTAATGAAGATACCACCATTGCTGCTTCTGATGTTCTTGAGACCGTTTCTAAATCATCTCTTCCATCCCACACCGTTCAAGCATCAGAAGAGCAGACTTCAACACAAACGCCAGTGAAAAAGTCTAGCAAGCTGAGGCAACAAATAGATGTCAAAGCAGAGCTGGAGAAGCGGCAAGGAGGGAAGCAACTACTCAACTTAGTGGTCATTGGTAATGTCCTTTGCTCTCTGGATTGTCAGCTCTGCTTTAGCCTGACAACTTTCTGGTTGCAGCATGGAAACTCGTGTTCCGCTCTGAGTTTCTCTGTGGGTGTAATGGACAGACAGCAAGGGGGCATTGCATTGTAACGCTTTCTAGTCACCCCGGGTGAAGTAATGCCAGGTTACCGAGGCCATTAGGCTTTCTTGTGATGTTTTCAATTTTGTGAACATTTTGAAAATGGCATGTCTGGTTGACAATTGTAATTTCCAAAAACCAGGGAAATTCCCCTCATCTCTAAAAAGACATGCTCTCTTCCCTCCATTTAGTTGTTTTAAATATCACTTAATAAAAATTGGTATTTATTACTCTAAACACTGACGTGAACTATTGAATTATATATTCATGCAATGCCTCAATGTGAACAGCTTCTGGGAAATGTACCTAGTATTAATCCTGAATCAATTTTCCTTAGGTCATGTTGATGCTGGGAAAAGTACTCTGATGGGCCATATGCTTTATCTTCTGGGTAATGTAAACAAAAGAACTATGCATAAGTATGAACAAGAGGCTAAAAAGGCTGGCAAAGCTTCGTTTGCATATGCATGGGTCTTGGATGAGACTGGAGAAGAAAGGGAAAGGTAGTCACTATATTTCAAAATTTTCAGTTTGAAATGATATATAGTCTTTTAATTAAATATGTAAAATGTGTTGAACATGTGTGAAACATACCATGAAATATTTTAGACTATTTTTAGAAAAAAGCTTTCAATTATTTGGGAAATATTTTTATTGTAGTTTTCATTACTACGTACATAATGCATCTACATATGTTTTTTACTATTCCAAATTCAATGAGAATAGTTTAAGAGAATGTTTACTAAAAATTGCTTTTAAAAAGCAGTAAAAACACTTAGCTGATTATTCAGTGCGAGAAGTTTCTGTTGTTACTTCCTAAGTATATGTCAAATTGACTTGATTTTGAATTAAAATTGTAAGTAAGACTTAATTTTACATCAGATTTTAGAGGAAAGGTAACTTTTTGTAGTAAACTGTCTTCTGTCTGGAATCAAAATGACCAGTAAGTGCAAATGACGAGACTTAATTCATTTTATAATTTTTGTACTATGTTTTCATGAGACAAAGTCAACAAGTGATTCCACCTATCTCCAACCATATGGACTTAATCCAGTCAGCTACTTCTATATCTGATAACTGTGTTCAGTGCTAATATCAGGGAGATTCTAGTAGGCGAATGCAGCTCTGGCTAAAAAAATAATACTTCTTTTGAAGTCTTTGGGATGTTGATATACGAGGCCTGTCTGGAAAAAGTCCAGCCATTGTTAATATAACACAAACTATTTGTGCAACATCCATGTAACCTGGCATCCAGGGAGAGTGGACTGGAATGTGCATACGTGAACAATGACGACTTCATGGCAATAGTCAGTGGGAGCAGTAGATGCCATTGAGTGAGCATGTGTACTGTGTGGCTCTCACGTTCAAAATGACTGAGCGAGTAGAGCAACAAACCTCATCAGATTTTGTGTTACGCTTGAATGTTCCTCCATGGAAACTATTCAAGTGATTCAGAAGGCCGCAGCTATGGGTAGCTGGTAATTGGCAGCCACATCACAACAACGCACCAGCTCATGCATCACGTTCTCAGACCCAGTTTTTTGGCAAACCATTAAATGACCCTGGTGACTGAGCCTGCCTTCAGCCCAGATTTGGTGCCCTGTGACTTCTGGCTTTTCCCAAAATTAAAACCACCTTTGAAAGGGAAGAGATTTCAGACTGTTGATGAGATTCAGGAAAATATGACTGGGCAGCTGATGGCGATTGGAACTGTGTGAGTTCCCCAGGTGCCTACTTTGAAGGGAATGGAGGCACCTTGTGTACAGTGTTTCTCGTATCTTGTATCTTCTTCAATAAATCTCTCTACTTTTCATAGTGCCTGGCTGGATACCTTCTGGTTAGACCTCGTATATCACCTTAGAACGGTTAGGAATGGGGGCAGCAATGGCACCTATGTGAGGGAAGAAAGAGGACACCTTAATAATAAACAAATGGCAAATGTTTTAACTGTGCAAAGTAATTAAAGATGCTGAAGTCCTCTGAAAGTCCTAAATCAACAAAGAGGTTATTCTCTGTTCCCTGATGTCTTCATCTGAATGTGATTAGAGAATATATTTGGATTTCCATACTTTTTATAAGTGTGTATTTTTATTGGAGTCTTGGATAGTCTACATTATAATGTATGAGGTAATTCTCAATAAAGGGGGTCACATTATTCCTTAGCTTTTCTGATAAATAGGAATTTTCTTACAGTTGTCATCTTCAGTCAATATATAGTATCACAAACTTGTTTTCCAACCTTGTAAGAAAAGTGAGTGGATAGTTGCAAATTTTTAGAAAACTTATAGTGGAAAACAGTGGAGTTTTGTATGATGTCATATTAGAAATCTAAATGATTTTCATCTGTTTACCATGCAGATTATTAAAATATATAACTTTTCTTTGTGTCATCTGTTAAGTAGGTGAACAGATTGAGAACACTGTAAATTAGAATGACTTGTTTGAATTTACTTAATATGTGAGTTGAGCTGGCTAGTAAGATAATCTCATTTCTAGAATGATCAATAATTTTAGTTTTGTTTTTTTTTAAATAATATACCTGCTGGTTATCTGTCATATTTTTGCTGCTGCTAGTTTTCTGTTGTTCAGCATGATGCAGTTTTTATAATATTTCTTCAATATGTAGATGGGAGAAGCTTCCAGATATATAATGGGAATTTTAACTCACTACTATATGTCCCTTAATAACATTTCAAAAATATAACGTGCTGCTTATCCCAGCATGTTAAATATTTGTAAATCCTCTGTTCTGCTTGTATGTTGAACAGAAATTAGTAAAATGAGTGACATTTTCACATACTTAGGCTTACAAATCCAGACCAGAGCCAGGTCAAAGGAGTATATTGTAGTCAAAGAAGTCTTGGTTCATCACTAATGTAAAATAAACTATTTGGGGATTATTAAAGAGAACAAAGCATGATTTTTCAGAAGCTCAAATGGCCCGTGGTTTCAGATTAAACTAGAATGACTAGAGTTAGGAGACCCATAGCAACCTTCCTGCTAGGGTGAATGTGAAATCTATCCTTAAAATTGTTAGGTTGTTAGGTAATTAAAGAGAGTGCTCATTCATTACTTTGGACTATCCTGGGCAAACCAGATAAACATTCACCTAGTTCATTGCCCACATGATTTCTATTCTAAATTTCTGAAGTCTAGAATGACTTAGTACCTTTTTAGACCCTCCTTGGGCTTTCTCATAATCTGAATCTGTTGTACATTTTTGTGACTGTGGTCTGCAAGAAGGATGAAATGGGATATGAAACAAATTACTGTTCATCTTTATTAATCTTTTAAAAAGTGGGCATCTCCTTTGATATTTCCTGTTTTCTAAGTGTTTAACATACTGACCAGTCTTACAAATGAAAGTTTTATAAGTTTATTTCCATAATTACTGAAGCGTAAACATAAGGAGATGAGGAAAACTACCTCCTGATAGTGGTCATTCTTCATTTCACTTTTTTCCATGTGCAGAGTATTTACTGTTGCCTTTTTTGGAGATGTCCCCGTATATCTTTCCTTGCTTGCAATCTATATTGCTTCCACACGGTCACTGCCCTGCGCCCCCCAACCAAAGAAAAATGAGAAGTATCTATTATTTCGTTTAAGTTTTAGCTGCAGCCACAACTTTGTTTTAAAGCTATATGGATTTAATACTCTCGCAGCAGAAATTCCAGTCAAAAATGTTAGCCTAATTTCTCAAAGTAATAGACTATTTATTGAAATAATATTGCCATTATTAAGAATTTAGCCAGTCATTTAACTTACGAAATAATTTAATCCGTAACACTGATTATTTATATAGTTCATTCTAACCATTTAATTTTTTTCTTTAAGGGGAGTAACAATGGATGTTGGTATGACAAAGTTTGAGACCACAACCAAAGTTATTACATTAATGGATGCTCCAGGCCATAAGGATTTCATTCCAAATATGATTACAGGAGCAGCCCAGGTACCAGATATTTCCTTAACTATTGGGCACTAATTGTACATAAAATTTCCTGATGCTGAGGATGATTCTAGGGTTCTAACTTTTAAAACATTCAAAAATTTTAACTCTTAAAAAAATTGAAAATATAGAGAAATATTTTTCATAACCTATCAGTACTTTATAAAACCTTTTCTAATTTATTACAAAGAAAAAGTATGTAAAAACTGAATTTCTTTATAGTAAAAATAATGGTAAAATGGTTAATGAGGTATTTGTAGCTTTATATTTCATTTGTTAAATTGGAGTGACTCATTTTAACATCTGCCTTTTTACAATATTTATATTCAAATCCTGTATATTTATTAATAATTAATTTATACAGAAACAGTGAAGCTTGGGAGTTTTCCCTTGTGCTTTATTTACTTTCTTTATAGAGTTAAAAAAAACAATTAATAAAGTACTGATAGGTACTTTATTAATTACAGTTTGTAAACTTACATGATACTTAATAAAGATACTGAGAAGAAATCTAAGTAATTAGAGCAATGAAAGTAACATTGCACCTATTAGGACATTGATTTCTTTTGTAACAGGTGATTACTGGAAAACATGGAGAGTTCAGAAATTTGCCTGTGTCACTTGGCGAAAGTGTGGCTTTGGCAACTGACCATTTTCTGAGTTCTTCCACTTGTTAGAAGAGAGTGTTGATATGAGCACTTGTCAGCCTAAAAAAAGATGTTATATGTATAAGTTAAAATACATTTGAGGATAAATGAGAAAGTGTTTCAGAATGTCAATTAAAATTCTAGGATATTAATTTAAGGTTCATGGAAATAGCACAAATAATTCCCATTTTAAATTAGTATATTTCTCATTGCATTTACCAAAGGATACAACATATTTTTATCTTTTTTTATATGTAGATATTTCTGTATATGTGTATATATATATATATGTATGTATACATATTTTTCTTTGTTTAATAAATACATATTGAATACCCACTATGTTTCAAACACTATGATAGAAAGTGTGGGATATGATGGACTACAAAATACATTTTAGAAGTTTATTGGGAATGGCAAACACCAGAACAAGTATTTATAGTAGAATATTTATGAATCCTAGAACCAGAGTAATCTTACAGATAATTTATTCCACATTCCTATTGAATTAGGGTAGGAAGGGCCTTAGAGATTATCTAATTGAATGCCATTATGTGACAAATGAGGAAGTAGACTCGAAGCTATCGCGTTATTCACCCAGCATGCAGAATAGTGCGGTAGGCTTTGAGGACACAAAGAAACATATAGGACATGCCAGCTCTCCTCAAGGAAATCACAGTGTAGGAAGGTAAGACATGTAAAGACAAAGTTACACAAATGTACTGCAAGAAGAATATATGCAGTATACATGATGAGGGGAGAGAACTTTATACTGCTTAAAAAGCCTGTCATGAAAATGTGTAGGGATTTGAGCTTTCATAGGTAATTGGCTGCACAGAAAGGAGAAATTGACCAGTAATTTTTTGGAGAAGGTAATAGGAAAGAGGGTTAAGAAGAATACTGTGGCCTTAGGTATCTTAATACTAAGTAATGAATTTCAATTTTAACCTCAGAGAGTAAATGTAATTTGACAGTTGTCAGCAAAACCTGATGAGGGAGATTCACAATTTGGATTTGGATTTGGAGGTCAGGGCCGGGTGTTTTATATAAACTGTACTATCCCCCCTCAATATTTCTGTGGAGTGAGTAAATGACACCCAGAGAGATTATACAATTTGCTTGACCTGTGATGCCTGCTAGTGACATCAGTGAGAGAGCCAACTTCCAAATTGATTGCTCCAGTTTGTGCTCCTGTCTAACAATCCCTGGCCAAAAGAACTGGATCTCATTAAAGAAATTAGAATTCACCATTGTAAGTTATGATGGAATTGAAATGAATGCAGCACTTAAGAGTAGAAGTATGTAAATTGCCCTACCAAAGTATGTGGATGATACTCTCAATTACAAAGTTGTGTTCACAGCAAAGTGTCTGATAAAGTCTTTGCTTACTTTATGACCATCTTGTTTACCACTATGGTGAGGATTATATGATGATGTATGTGAAATGCTTTAAAAACTGGGTAGCTCAAACGTAAGTGTCATTGAGGAAACAACAAAGACAAAAGCTGTTGTGGACTCTGTTCTGACCAAAAGGCCAGGCAGCTTGGTGTGTAAGATTGAGATAGGGTGATGATTGTGTTACAGTCTGAGGTGGCCAAAAGGGAGTGCCAAATTTAGCCACTGTATCCTGGATTACAGAGAAGCAGATTTCTGTGAGAACAGGTATGCGTACAAGGCAAAAACTGTAAAAGGGAAAAATGGAAGAACATTCTTTTAAAAATGTCCTGACAGTGCATTGGACAGACAGTTTAGGAGAATGAAAGTGGAGAACATCTAAGGTTGCACAAACTTTACTGCCAGTTTTCAAAGTCTGCATCCACATGATGCAGGTGGAGTCAAGTAAGGAAGTATCACACAGAGGGGTGTTGGGAATCCATAAAGCTAGTATCAGTAAGGCTAATGAGGAAAATGAGCTACAGCTAAGGTTTGCCTTTTTTTCTTCTTTTGTGTAAATTGTGTATGAGAAGAGAAATATCTTTCATCTGATTCTTAGAATGGTCCACAAAGGTTTTTTGTTGTTCAGGATTCTTTCTCAGTGGCTGTGTAAGGTGAATGACTCATTTACTCTTTTTTTCATTAATATAAGCAATGCTGTGACAGTATCTTCGTAGATCCATAATTACTTATCTAGGGTAAGTTCCCAGTGGTGGAGTTTATGGGGGAAAAAAAATATGTTATAAAGCTCTTGAAACTTCTTGTGAAAATGCCCTCCAGAAAGTTGTATACTTAGAGTCCCACAGGCAGGATCTAAGAATGTCCTTTGCCCTCCACCCTTACTTAGAGTGAGTAATTTTGTCTTTTAAATCTTTGCCAATGTAATCTGTAAAAGTGGGAAAAGGGAGGAATATGCTGTATTTTTAATGCCTTTTTTGTTTTTTAATGAATCTGAATTTTTCCATGTTTATTGGCCATTTTATTTCCTTAGCAAGTTGTGTTCTTTAACTAGTTTCTTATAGCTATGTCTTTTTTTCCTTTTTTTGGTCAAGACTTAATTTGATTGTAACTTTTACCTTATATATTACAAGTATTTGTCCCTATTTTGTTTGTTTTTCCGCCTTTACCTAGATATGATAATTGTTATTTAATGAAATACGGGATTTTTAAAAATTCTTTGTCTTTCTTTTCCTCTGAATGCTAATACTTTTATTTAATGTAAAAATTTTAATCCATCTGTGTAATTCTTTTATTTGATTTGCTTTGATGTTTGGTGTTAGGTTAGAGTCTGCATTTCAAATCAGACCGACACAGTTAATTGACTAATCTGTCCTTTGAATTAAAATGCTGTGACATTATTTCTAGTTTTGATTGTTTTTCTTCTTCCTTAGGCGGATGTAGCTGTTTTAGTTGTAGATGCCAGCAGGGGAGAGTTTGAAGCTGGATTCGAGACTGGGGGCCAAACACGAGAACATGGCCTCTTGGTTCGTTCTCTTGGAGTAACGCAGCTTGCAGTTGCAGTCAATAAAATGGATCAGGTATTTAAAGGCTTTATGAAAATTCATTTTAGGTGCTAATTAAGATGTTATTCTGCCATATTGATGACTTAGATGTGGCTAGTGTATATTATTAGTCTAGCGGCCATACTTTAAAGATTAAATTCATGATTCTGGCATTAAATGAAGGACATATGAGTAATTTTTAAGCAAACAAAATTTCTTATATTTAAAATTAATTAAAATGTCTTAAAATTATTTTTAGTTTTAAAATAATACACATTTATTTTAGTCTAAAGAGAACCTAAAATAACCTGTATTTCTTTTTTTAATTACATTTTATTGATTATGTTATTACAGTTGGTCTGATTTTTCCTCCTTTTACCCTCTTCACCCAGCGCCCCCTACTCCCTCAGGCAATGCCTTCACTGCTATTTATATACATGGGTCATGCGTGTGAGTTCTTCAGCTACTCCATTTCTTATACTGTGTATCCCCATGGCTATTCTGTAACTACCTATTTGTACTTCTTAATCCCCTCACCTCTTCACCCCTTCTCCCCCTCCTCCCATCTGGCAACCTTCTGGTAACTGCTTCTTTTCTCTTGCTTTTGAGAGCCTCTCTTTATCTTTAACCTTTGGCGTTTTAATAATGATGTGTCTTGGAGTGGGCCTCTTTGCATCCATCATAATTGGGACTCTGCGCTTCCTGGATTTGCATGTCTATTTTCTTCACCAAATTAGGGAAGTTTTCTTTCACAGTTTTTTCAGCTAGATTTCTAATTTTTCGCTCTTTCTCTTCTTCTGGCACCCCTATGAGACGAATGTTGGACCTCTTAAAGTTGTCCCAGAGGGTGTTTATAATATCCTCATTTTGGGGGATTCTTTTTTCTTTTTGTGGTTATGTGTGGTTGTTTTTTGCTTCCTTATGTTCCAAATCATTGATTCGATTCTTGGCTTCATCGACTCTACTGCTGTTTCCTTATACAGTGTTCTTTATTTCCATTAGTGTATACTTCATTTCCAAACTGGTATTTTTTTATGCTGTTGAGGTCCTCACTAATTTCCTTTAGCATCCTTATAAACAGTGTTTTGAACTCAGCGTCTGACAGATTGCTTATCTCCATTGCGTTTAGTTCTTTTTCTGGAATTTTGATCTGTTCTTTCATTTGAGCCATGTTTCTTTGCCTCCTTGTTTTGGCAGCCTCTCTGTTTTTGTTTCTATATATTAGGTAGAACTGCTGTTTTGTTGTGTCTTGGTAGTGTGGCCTAATGTAGTATGTGTCCTCTAGGGTCCAGTGGCACAGCCTCCCCTATCACCCAAGCCGGGTACTTGAGGTGCACCCTTTGTATGGCCTGAGTATTCCCTCCTTTTGTACTTGAGCCTTGATTGCTCTTGGCAGGCAGATCAATGAGAAGGATTTACCCAGGCCAGTCAGTTGCAATGACTGGCTGTGACCACTGACCACTACCCTCTGCCATCCATGGATGATTAGCTCTGAGGGGCAGGGTGGTGGTGCTTGGACATGGTCTGTAGCTGGGTGCATTGGCCCTAGGGTTTCCTAGGTGTTGCAAGCCAAGGTCAGCCCCCACCTTTGTTTTGCCCAGGGCCACCCTGCCCGAGCTAAAAAGCAATCTGAGATGACTGCTGCTTCTGCTGGGCTTGGAGATTGCCAGGTGAAGCCAAGCTGTGACTCTAATTTGGCTGCTTCTAGGGCTCCCTGAAGCCAGCTATTGCCTGTTGATAGGATTTAGGAGTCAAGACAGGCCGTTCTTATCTTCAAGGTAGGTCACACAGTGTTAGCTAGGTTGATGGAGTCTCAGATATGGTACCAGCCTACCCGCTCTGTGGGGGGTGGGCTCAGCCAAGGGATGGTGGTCTCTTCTCACCCCGATGCCAGACACTTCAGTCTCTCCCTGTATACCACTGGTGCCCTTTAAGCTGTCACCTGGGTGCTGGAGATCAGAGGGAGCGAGTGAGTAGGTAAGTCTGTGTGTGGGTTCCCCAAGAGGAACTCCTTGGAGCTCCAGCAACCTTCTCCACTGACTCAATCCCCGTTGGTTTTTGCAGCCAGAAGTTGTGGGGACTTATCTTCCTGGCACTGGAATCCTGGGCGGGGGTCTTGTTGTGGGTCTGGGACTCCTTGTTCCCAAGATATCCCTCTTGAATTTTTATGCATGTGGGTGTGGGGCCAGCTCGTTCGCATCTGCACCCATCCTACCAGTCTGGGTGGATGTGGTTTCTTCAATTCCATAATTATCAGACTTTCATTCAACTCAATTTTGTAGTTGTCAGACTTCAATTCAACTCGATTTCTGACGTTCCTGAGTGATGGTTGTTCTATAGTTTAGTTGTAATTTTTATGTGGTTGTGTGAAGAGGTGAGCCACGTCTGCCTGTCACCATCTTGATTGGAACTAAATAATCTATATTTCTAATGATCCTTTCCCCCTAAAAAAACTTTATCCTTTTCCTTTTGTACATCGATACAATTTATTTTTATAGATTAGAATCTTTCATTATAACATTGAGTTACAAACTTTTGTTGTCTGCTTTTTCAAAAAATTGACAATATTCTTGTGCATTTGTCCAAGTAATAATAATTTTTGTCTTGTTTTTATAGCTTTATTCTTGTCTGTTTTAAAGATACAATTTCTTCAGACAATCTCCTACTTAAGGATATTTCCAGTTTAGTGTATATTTAGAAATAGTTTATGCTGTGGAAACTTCTGGGCCAATGGCATATACATTTTTTAAGGCTTGCTGTACATGATCAAAACACCTTCCAGAAAAGTTTTAGTTACTTCCTCTTGGCATCTGTGGTGGAGTCACTTTCCCAAGCTGTTATCAACACTGCTGTAATTAAAGGATTATTTTCCAATTTGATATATAAAACACAATATTTCTTTTTTAATTTACTTTTCAATATTTACAATAATGTGTAAATATACTTTGTATATTTATTGTCCATTTGTATTTTTTTCTTTTGGAATTATTTATAAATTTGCTAATTTTTGAAACATCGATTTGTAAGCATTATTAAAGATATTAATCTTTTATTTTGTCTTAGATACCATTTTACCATTTATTATTTTACTTTTCATTTTGTTTGTGGTGTTTTTTTGACATATATTCAAATTTATAAATGTATACAGGGTCTGGCAGAAGTAATGCCTGCTTGAGTGTGGTTGGTAGGGTAATAATATGGGTGTAATAATTTATAGTTTTAATTTGAACATTTCACCCAAAATGTCAAATGTTGTGCTTGAGTGTGATATTGTTATGTTATAGAATTACATGCTTATGATTTTGTAATAAAAAAGGGGCATTTTTTTATGTCAGACCATGTATATTTTTTATTTTCTTTATGCTTAGATATTTTCTTACCCTGGAATCAGATACATATTCTCCTACATTTTTTTACATAATTTTTCTGTAATTTCATTTTATATACACACTCATATATACCTTTTGTCTTTCCCCAGTGTTTTAGTATGAAAATTTCAAATATAAAGAAAAGTTGAAAGAATTTTAAAGTAAACACCCATATTATACCCACTACTTAAGATTCTATTACTTGCTTGATCACTTTTTTGTCTATTTACCCCAGTATCTATCCATAATCCATTTAATTTTGATTTGAATTTTCAAGTAAGTCATAGACATTGCTTCACTTACCCCTAAATACTACAGCACGCATAATGTTATGTAGAGTTCATATTACATAAACATTTTTAGTCTATTTGGCTTTATTTCAGCAGTTGGCCCAAGCACAGTTAATAAATTACTTGCTTTTTCTCCCCAAGTTCGAAATCACTTTTAGCTTCTACAAAAATTCCTGTATGTATTGGGGTTTGTTTCTTGGCTTTCTGTTGTAGAAGTTACTTTTAGGTGATATTGATAGTTAGATCTTATATTCTGAATTTTAACTTTAAAGGATATTATATTTAATAGATTTTTATATTTATATTTTATCTTATATTTTATTTCATACATTTAAATTTTATAAATAGTGTGATCTGAAGCATAGTTTTAACAATAAATTGGATTTTTATCAGGTCAATTGGCAACAAGAAAGGTTTCAAGAGATTACTGGAAAACTTGGACACTTTCTTAAGCAAGCAGGTTTTAAGGTAAGATAATTTTAAATTTATTTGGTTACTTTCCTTGAGTTTCATTTTGTTGTTCTGAGAGAAAAAACTAGTTTCTTTGGTGTTCTTGTTAAGTATCTTTAATTCTATTTGTTTTTATTTCCCTTGTGTATCTGTTGTCTTGGTTCTTTGGATTATTTCACCTTAAATTGCATAATTTTGTAAATTGGCATGGATTTAATATAAGTAAAAGATTTTTTTCCCACCTTAATACTGTGGGAATTAAGGTGGGAAAATATTAATATTCCCACAATATTAAATTTGGTATATAGATTTAGGGAGATCACAAAGAAGAGTTTTCCAGCAAAAATGTGAAATATACCCAAGATACTAGGTAAAAATGCTTGTATGTTTTGGAACACACTTATAAATTTCCCACAAAATCAAAAAAGGTGATGCTGTCAGATGAGATAACTTCAGGATTGTAATTCTATGATTTCTGTTTCTTCCTTATAAGTACATCGTTGTTGCTTTTTCTAACTTGGTGTAATTATGCTAATGATGAACCTTTTATCTTTTTAAAACAATGTTATAAATATCATATATTTAATCTTTTATAATAGGAAAATGATGTTGCTTTTATTCCGACAAGTGGTCTCAGCGGTGAAAATCTAATTACAAGATCTCAGTTGAGTGAACTTACAAAATGGTATAAAGGACTATGTTTATTAGAACAAATTGGTAAGAATACTGGCTCACTAATTTTTTTTTTTTTAGATTTTACTTATTTTTCTTTTAGAGGGGAAGGAAGGGAGAAAGAGAAAGAGAGAAACATCAGTATACAAGAAAAACATTGATTGGTTGCCTCTCACATGCAACCGGCAACCTGGTCCGCAACCCAGGCATGTGCTCTGACTGGGAATCTAATTGGCGACCTTTTGGTTTGCAGGATGATGCTCAACCCACTGAGCCACACCAGTTAGGGCTGCCTCTAACTTCAGTGCATTATAAACTTGATATTTAATGAATTCTTTGTGGTGGACAGTGATACATATGCAGAAGCATAGGATTTATAGTCAGAGGAGCTAAGTTTGCAGTTTTAAAATTACATTTAATATTTAAACTGATACTCAGTTTTCCTTATTTAATTAATGAGGATCATACCCTATCCACCTCACAGACTGTCGTTGACATTAAATGATTTAACGTGTATGAAACTACTTTATAAACTACAAAGTATTATATGAATGACAATTTGCTATTAATTTTTATATTTATAAAAAATTATTTGCTAAGAGATATGGGGCTTTAATGGGCTCTTTGGACATGAGTCAAAAGTTACTTTTAAAGTAAACCGTGCTTTTTTGGCCATTTTTTCCAGATTCCTTCAAGCCTCCTCAAAGATCTATTGATAAGCCTTTTAGGTTATGTGTATCTGATGTTTTCAAAGGTAAGTGCTCCCTCTACAGTACTTCTTCGGCATGACCCCTGCCTTTGAATTCTCTCCTGACCTCTTTTCTTCGACAAACTTATTATATAGTCCTTTGAATTCTCCCTTCTGTATGCCAGCGTGAGGACCACTGCCAAATTAATCTTAAAGGGCACAGTTTTAGTTAGTTAACCCCCACTTCCCAGAAAAATCTTTGATTTACTCACCATTTCCCCATCTCATACTTACCTTCCAGGTATGAAAAAACCTTGTCCTTTGTGCCTCAGGTTTTTTTCCTCCCACTGGATCACCTTAGTTTCTGTATTCGTCATCCAAACTGGATCATTCACTATGTCTTAACCACATAGGGGGGTCTTTATTGCCACTGTGTCTCCCCATGTTTTGCTTTTCTCTCTCTCTCTATTCATTTCCTACCCATCTGTAGGAGTCTGGGTTCAATCGGGGTATAGATACTCCACATCGGTAAAATGGACAGTTTAATGTAAAGAATTATTAATATGGTAAAAGAGTGACTATAGGATAATAAGGACACTGTATGGTACCCCAGGGCTGAGGACCCAAACACAGAAAGGTACAGACCCTGCTGGGGGAGGTGCTGTCTTTAATACCTATGAATAAATCTCACTTAATGAGTACAAGGAATACTACAAAATGGAAATGGAATAAAAAATCTCAGTAAGTAGAAAGACATAACACATTTCTATATTAGAATAATTAGTGCAGTAAAGGTGTCGGTTGTCCCCCAAATGTCCTCTATTCACGGAGCAGGCAGCACAGAGTGGGTTTGGGGCTGGGAAGCAGTACATTGGTAACTGGTGAGTTCACCAAACACATACCCTAAGGTGTTCCTGTGTGGTCTCTGTATCCTCTGTCATTGCATTTTTTGTGCAGAATTATAACTGTTTTAGTGCTTTCTGCTTCATTAAGATTATAAACTCCCTCGACAGCAAATACAGTCTTTTCTCTGTATCTGCAAGACCTGGCTCCGTGCCTGACACCAAATACATGCTTAATAAATGTTTAATCAAGAAATGAATGAAGGTGCCTCACAAAAATCATTTTAAAAAACTGAAATTTTTTATTATTATTAGCTTCTAGGCATTCTAATAGTAGAGGAAATATGATAAAGTTTTCCAAATTATTATTATCTATTTAAAATATAAGAGGTGCTTCATTTTCTTTTTTGATTAGCAGTGTTTGCCAACTCTACTTTTTCATCTCCCATCCTGTCTCCAAGCTGCTTCCTGGCTTCTGCCTGTACTGCTCCCCTCAGTATGTTCCCACTGAGGCTACCAGACTTCTGGGTTGCCCATTTTTCCATTCTATCTTACATCCTTCTTACTTGAATTTCGTGCAACTTCTGATGCCAGTAGTCACATCTGCCTTAAAACTTTTCTCCCTTGGTTTCTGGACCCACTTTCTCCTGCTTTTCTGTCTGTGTCTTTGGCTTCTCTGTATCTTCACTGTGGGCTCCTCTTTCTCTGTCTCTAACTAGTGTTCTGTTGCTCAGTCCTCTTACCTACCTGCTCCCTTTGTGCACCCATCCGGGAGTTCGTCTCCCTTCTGTGTTGTGATCCTTCCCAAATCTGCATCTCCAACGCAAGCCTGTTCATACTCTCCAGCTACATGTGCCAGCTGCCACCGGACAGCCCCCCAGGCAGTGTGCTCCTGGCACCCCGTTCTCATGGAATTTGGTGGGGTGGGTGTCCCTGGAATGCACCTTCTCAATCTGTATGCCTTGTAGGCACTTCAGATTCACCAGTGCTAACATGGATCTTGTTTTTTAATTTTCTCTCTCACAATTAATGCCTTATGTCATTTCAGATTTCTCCCTTTTTGCCATTATCCCCCACTTACTTTATCACTCTTAATCTGTTATACTTTCTTTCCAAATTCATGAGTTGATTCCCTTTTCTGCAGTCAGTGTGTGCATTTTAACCAAACTTCCTCCTTTTCTGACATGAAAATGCCATCATGTCCCTTCTCTGCTCACAGTTTTTAACCGGCTCCCATTACTCAACTGAGGATGAAGTTCAGGCCCCGAGCGTGGTTTATGAGGCCCCTGGATCATTTGTCCCTTGTCTCCCTCTGTTACCTCATGTCTTGGCTTCCCTCATTATTTCATGTGGTCCCATATATATTTTATATAAGTGACACACAGGTCTAGTACATCCCATGTGCAGTTATAACTCTGTGACTTCACACATGCAGCTTCCTGGGCAGCAGTGTTTTCCTTCTTCCCCTACTCCCACGTACGAGGTACCTAGTAAATCACCTGATCCTTCTCCTTCTAAGAGCCCAGCTAAAGTGTAATCATTCCCCCTCAACATGGAGTCTTCTGTGCACCTTTCCTGTTTCTGTATAGTGTACATTATAAATAACATTTGTCTCTGGGCAGTGTTAATTATTTTTGTCTTTCTCTTCACTAGTATAAACTCCTTATGGGGAGGTGCTTATATTTTCATCTCTTTATCCCCAGAATGCCTGATACTTAGTAAACACTCAATAAATATTTAAAAAAGGAATGAATTCCCACTTTCTGTAATGTGAATATTCTTATTTGTAAGAAAATCAAGAGTAGAATGTGATATACCATACTTAGTAGATAGGTTAAAAATTCTAAGATGACCATTAATGTTCATTGAACTACAGTTGTATATAACTCCAAGGGGACCAAATAGAGCTGATGGTATTGATCATCAGATAACATTGCTATATGAATCATTGTAAGATTTGGGCATGTTTTGCAGATCAAGGATCTGGATTTTGTGTAACTGGTAAAATTGAAGCTGGTTATATCCAGACTGGTGACCGACTACTAGCAATGCCCCCCAATGAAACTTGTACTGCAAAAGGTAATTCCTCTGCAAGATTCTTTTGCTTAACAACCCTTACGTTGAGATTAAAAAAAGTAGTGTAGTTATTAAACTCCAGAGTAAATAACCTCTTACCGAAATTGTAACTGACTGTCAAAATGATACTAACTGTTGAAGATAAATATGTGAAAACATTAAACGATTTTTTTCTGTTGTGACTATGTGTGTATATATGTACTTATAGCATTCTAACTGTGGTAGCACTTTTTTTTTGATACGGATTGAGAAGTCTGTTTAGGATTTAACCAGATGTATAGACACCTGACAGGTACATTTAAAATAGTATTCAGTAGCAGAAATTAAACCCAACCCCAACCGGGCACTAAATAGTCTGTGGCAAAGCAGACTGCTACCATCTGTTGTTTTAAAGTATGTATTTCAGAATTACTATACATTAACAATTTTGATCATGTTTATACTAAAAAATATGCATATATAAAACAGGAAGACCTAAGAAAATAAGATGTAAATGAAGAAAACCCTATTATTGAAAAGAGAAATTGTGAGCTAATTTGAAGTGCCAGAATTATTGGTTTTACACATAATTTAATACATGACTTTTTATGATGGCTGATAACCATTTTCATCTTCTAATCATTTGATCTTACATATATTCATGTTACTCTTTTCTGAATTCTGCTTGAAAGTGTATAATTTTATACCTTAAGATCAGGTCTTCCAACTAAGCCTCTGACTTCAGCATAAAACTGAAGATCTCTTTTATACTTTAAAGTAATATAATTTGTAATGATTTTAAGTTTAAGCATACTCTACTGTCGATGTGTAAATTTTTAAAAATTTCAGTACTTCTCCTTCTGTTACTCTTATTTATAATTTATATCCAGAGTTGTATTAATTAGCTTATAAATTTGAATGTACAATTTAAAAACCTAATTTGCTTATGTTGAAAACTAATTTCTTAAAGATTATAAGAAATTAATGAATATCTGTTTAGGTAACAGAGTTTAACCAAAATTTTGAGTTGAATAAGGGGATGAAAGCCAAAATGATTTCCAGTTTACTTTTTCTGCATGCTTAGGAATCATGAAAATTCTCTTTCGGTAAAAAGTAATATACACTTTTTTAAAAAAGAATCATTTTCTGTAGATGTATTGTTTGCAAATTCAGATCTGTTTTTGTTTTATGAAGTGATCAAGAGCTACAGCACTTTTGAAATACTGATTTATGTTAACAAGCTTTTTTGAGAATAGTAAGTTTGTTTTTTTTTAATAATCGGTAGACATTAATTAAAACCATGGTTTTAAAATTATCCATGGACCTTACAGATTGACTCTTTTGGGACAGTTTGGTCACTTCTGAAAGTCCCACATTCTTTCTCTCCTTCCTTTCTGTCACTTCTCTTCCAGAAAAACTCTGTCCATTTATTCTTAATCCAGTGATTCTTAAAGAGAGGCTGTATCAGAAGCGCCTGGAGAGCAGCGCCCCACTCCTTGGCAGCTGTGCTTCTAACTCAGCCTGGAGACTCTCAGCTCTCAATTTCTGACCTTGTTGCTTTGCTTCATTTACTTGGCTGTCTAATGCGCAGTGCTGTCTAAACACCTTAGGTCCTGCTGTGGCTCCCTAACCAGCAGTGTCCTAAAAGAGAGTAGTGACTAAATCCGTAACCAACATATGGAAATTCTTAATTATATTTTTTACTCTATTAACATATCATCTTCATGGAGTGTTGAAAAATAAGTTTTTTATGTGTAATGTCTTTCCAGTGAAGAAGGTCTTTAAGAAGGTAGATGCTGTCTATAGAACAGTGTAACATGTTTGGGGGAGAAGATCAGATCACATATTTTTAGATTTTTTTATATTGTTCATTGAACTTGTAGTATGAATGCTCTTCAGTCCTAAAGTAAGGCAATCTCTGTTATATGTTAAGCAGCTAGCTCCTGTCTTCAATTCCACATTTCATAGCAAAATCAGATATGGTCATTTAAAATCTACACTTAAAAACTAAATTTAAGTAGTTGAAAATATATCAAACATTCTTTAATATCATACTTGTTAACAACTTTGAAGTCAAGAGCCTCTTTGATACCTTGACAGAAGTTATGACCCCTCTTCCTAGAATAAGTCAGATATGCTCGTAAGTGAAATTTTGAATAAAACTGCAGATTGTCTCAGGGCTCTTAAAGTTCTCCTTCAGCCTTCAGAAAGCCTTAAAGAAACTCAAGTGTATGCTATATGGGCAAAATAAGTATTTTCAGAAAAATGAGAGTAAGTTACAATTTACTAGAATCATGACATTCAAGAACTATTCCACAGTTGTTGGCCTATATACTGTCTTTGTAACAAAGCTAAAGTTCAGGAACTTTACCCCGTAAAATTACCCTATAAAATCATAAAATATGAGATTCCTTTTAAGTCTTTGAATAAGGTAGCTGAATATTGCCCTTTGCAATTGTTCCCTAAGATTATCCCTATGTAATAAAGATATATGAGTATAGCAGTACATGGAATCATTTTTAAATTAAGATTTTTATGCTATTGATCTCTTTTTTTAATCCTATGACCAGTCATCACGGTGCATCTCTCTTTCTCTCTCTCTCTCTCAAGCAGTTCTTTTGAGGCAGGAATTAGTGAAAGGGCCAGTCAAGGGCACATCTGAATGGGCAGCAATGCCCTGTGGGTTACTCAGGGAACATAGCAACAGTTTAAGTGGTTGTGTATTTAAAAGTAAAACTGGAGACTGTACACCTTGCCCAGACTCATTTTTTATGTCATTAAAAATAATTGGAACTGTATTGTTATGCCTGCATCCATTACCATAAGAGAAATATTTGAATGGAACCTGTTTAATGGATATATTCACTTGTGTAAATGAATTCAAAACTTTTGATTTAAAAAGTAGAAATCAGCCTTTTATGGGCAAATACAAGTCACTTATGTTTAGGGTGGTTTTCCAGAAGAGTCAAGTCTAGAGGAAATGCGTTTTCCTTAGCGTTCAGTTACCCTTCTCACTCTGAATCCATTCATATTGAAAATGAGTAGTGACTGATGAGGCACAAACCAGCCCAGCTCTTGGTTGTTATGGTTCAATATTGAGGTGCTTTACTGTATTCTTTTTGGTTCTTACTCATTTCCAGGAATCACTCTGCATGATGAACCTGTTGATTGGGCAGCAGCAGGCGATCATGTTAGTCTTACGTTGGTTGGAATGGATATCATCAAAATCAAGTGAGTGAGAAAATGATATGAAGCAACCATTGTTTTTGGGTATAGGACCTCAAAACATAGAAACTTTGTAATTGACCAGAGCAAATGAAAGAATGAGTATTAATTCTGAATCTCATTTGGCCAAAAATTGCCACTGGAAGGATAGGAATGATAGCAAAAGCTACTTAAAATTCAAATTAATCCACGTCAGTGCACATACTTGTTCTTTGAGTGAAAGCTGTTGTGTGTGAAAATGATGTAAGGTTAATAGTGTATAAAGCTAGGCTTTAACCCAAAAGGGAATATTTAGAAAAAGTCCCTAATTTGCTTGATTGTTTTACTTTGTAAATGGTTTTAGAGGTGTTCCTACTAGATGTATATTTATTTGACCTGCAACTACCTTCTCTCCTTTTTTTTTTTTCGTTTGTTACAGCGTTGGCTGCATATTTTGTGGCCCCAAAGAACCCATTAAAGCTTGCACTCGTTTCAGAGCCCGAATCCTCATCTTTAATATTGAAATTCCGATCACTAAAGGATTTCCTGTAAGTTACAAAATGTTTAATTGTTACTGCTTATATAAATTCAAAGTCCTTTATGCTAAAAAGTAGTAATTTTTTACAACTGATGATGCTATGGTTATTTTCAGCTAACAGCTTACTTACTACTCTAATTGAGGAAAACATGAAATTAGAATTTGAAAATCATTTTTATCTTGACCCTTGAGTCTGGATATTTTTTTAATGAGGCATTGAGTAGAGATTTCATAATCACAAACTGATGATAATAATAGAATTCATCAAGGGAAATTGGTAGATACTTTTTTGCTGTGTTCTGAAGGTTACCTGTCTAATTATAGATTGGGTCTTTCTGGTTTTTGTTTTAATATGCTTATTTGTAGTTTTTCTGATTAAAAAAATGATATATAGTTATAGAAAATTTTGGAAAACACCAGAAAATAAAGTTAGTAAGAATGTTCTATTATTGTGTAATCCATAGACATATATTCTTTACGTTTGTATACTTCTCTGTGTACATGCTGTCCACCCATTGGTATCTATGGGTATATTCTGGGAATGCTTGCCATAGGGTAAACTTACTTGTACTAAAGCAGCACCTTCAGACCTTGCATGCTCTGAGTTTGGCTTGCAGGTTATCATTAACCAGCATCATTTGAACATACACATTTATAGGAAGAGGGTGGTTTTATGCTGTAATGCTACTTATCCAGAAAAAATACTTCTACTTATGCATACCATGATTTCTTGTTTTAGGTGTAATTTTTTACAGATATTTAGCGCCATATTCTGTTCATAGGTTGGTACCTTGCTTTTGCCACTTAACAAGTGAGCATTTTCCCATTAGACCGTTTTTTTTTTCCCTTGATCAGCTTATATAATAGTACAGATTCTGCACAACAGCAAAAAATGTTTTTCAGAGGAGTTTAATGGCTTGCCTTTGAAAACATAAACCAGTCACTTCACCATTTGATGCATCTTTGCAATAAAAGTAAGACAATAATAGTAATTGGCCTTTAAACTTTAAGTTAGTGGTAGTGGAAATATATTTATTTTAGCTCATTTAAATTCATTTTATACTTACATGCTTTTTTGAGATCACCATGTGCTTTCCTTATAATTCTTAGTAATTCTGTGCAAATTTAATTATATAAAATTATGTTTATAAGACACTGTTTATGTATTTTAGTTTTATAATTATATTCTCTCCCAACTTGTTATAGTTGAAAATATTTAATTTTTAAATATTCAAAATTCATGTATTGATAGGCAAGAAACTGCAACTGAATTGCTATGAAGTAATGGCACTCATTCTTAGAAAGAAGCATGTCCAATGGAGAGAAGCTGGAGGGGTTGGTTACGGCATGTTTTTACTCATGCAACAATAATTTTTGCCAATGGAGAGGTAGAGAGGTCAAGTATTACTTTGAATAGTAATACTGTTTTCCTGTCTACTGTAATTTCTTAAAAATAGGTATGAATTGAAAGTATTTCAGTGCTGCTTTATGGGATTCCACTTGCGTATATTGACTCACGGATGCAGGAAGAAATTTATTTCAGAACAAGTGGTCATGTTTTGTTATTGTCCACTTCCTGTGGGAAGAAACCTTCAAAAATATATTTTTTAACCATGAAAGGGCTTCTTAAATAGTTAAAATTTTACTATTTAAATGGGACTAATTTCTTAATGCTTCATAAATACAGGACGGAGCAAAAGTAGGTTTACAGTTGCGAGTATGCCGAACAGTTTATTCTTGTATTATTATTATTTATTAATTACTGTACTATTTTCCAAGTGAACAACTTTAACCTACTTTTGCTCCACCCAGTATATTTGTTTTCTTTGATTTATATGGTAAACTCTATGTATATTTAAGAAGAAAAAAATAGAATTGAAATAAGTTCATGTTTGTTTGTTTTTTATTGTGGTAAATATAACATAAAACTTAACCATTTTAAGCATTTGTAAGTGTAGAGTTCAGTGGCATGAAGCACCGTATTTTGCCATGTATAATGCGCTTCTGTGTATAACGCACAACTGCGTTTTGGGCCCACACTTTAAGGAAAAAAAACTCTCTCATTTTTTCTCTCAATTACATATGTATTTATATTTAAAATCTTATTTTTTGTATTATCAAGGAATTTTAGCGTTTATTTTTTAACATATTATTGTATAAGAAATTTTATGTAACAAATAATTACAAAACACAAGACGAACACAAGGTATTTCAGGTTCTACCATGTATAATGCACACCCTTAATTTTCCCTCAAAAATTTGGGCAAAAAAGTACACATTATACATGGGAAAATATGGGTACATTCATATTGTTATGCATTCATCAGCACCATCCAGTCCCAGAAACTTTTCCATGTTCCAAACTGAAACCCGGTACCTACTAAACGTTAGTTCCCCATCCCTGCCCCCATCCCCTGGTAACCACGGTTCATGTTCTGTCTCGGGATTTGACTCTTCTGGGTACCTCATATAGATAGAATCAGATACTGTTTGCTCCGTTACGCCTTGTTTATTTTATTTAGCATAATGTTTTCAAGACTTTTTCTTGTAGCATGTAACATAATTTCAGTCATTTTTTAAAAAGATTTTATGTATTTTGTTTTTAGACAGAGGAGAAGGAAGGGAGAAAGGGAGAGAAACATCAGTGTATGGTTTCCTCTCGCATACCTCCTACTGGGGACCTGGCCCGCAACCCAGACATGTGCTGTGACTGGGAATTGAACTGGCGACCCTTTGGTTCGCAGGCCGGCACTCAATCCACAGAGCCGCACCAGCCAGGGCAAATTTCAGTCATTTTTAAGGATGAATAGTATTGCATTGTATAGAAATGTCACATTTTGATAGTGCCCTTAACTCTAAACTCCTTCTTTGGGAAATAGTCCTTTAATTTTCTTTTAAGAAATCATCTCTTACAGACTTATTTTGCCACCTAACAGATTATATAGCCCATTATAGTTTATAAAACACTAGATAATTGGATTCTTACAACCCCGCAGAAAGTACAGAGTCCCAACCCTTATTTGAAACTCTTCAGGCTGGTGTGCTTCAGAATTCAGAACTGTGCAGATTTTAGACAGGTGATCTGCTGCATGCATGTTACATAAGGCCCTGAACAGAGAATGGGGCAACAGCCTGTAATCGAACATGTTTGTACCTCAACTTACTAATATTAATGCTAAGTGAAATAAGTAAGGACTATAGATTATATCGCTTCAGTATAAGTTCCAATTTACTACTTAAATGTGTTAATAACTGAATTAGGACAAACACGCTCTCAGTGTTTGGGGATTTTGAAATTGCAGGATTGTGGATTTGTATTCGTGTTGTACCCATTTACACATGAGGAATTGGAGACTCTTGAGAGACTGTGACTGTCTGAATAATAAGTGACTGAGCCATGACTCACGCTCGGCACTTTTCACTTTGAAGTTCACTACTCTTCCCATTTCTTTCTACATTATGCTGTGGATCACTTTGAAGTACAGGTGACCTTGTATATAATATGAATTAAAATGTTAAGATAGTGCAGTCATACCTTGGCACTCACTGGCTTCAGAACTCTTCCAACCCTGTACTCGTCGCATTTTGATGAGAAAAAATGTTCCAGCGCTCAGTGCTTGCCTGCCACTTGGAGCCCCCTACCGCAATGAGACAGGCCAGCGTGTCGGTCTCATGGTCTAGGCAAACGGTTCGGTGCTCGTCGGAACGAATTAACGAGTGCCAGCGTACCTCTGTATACAGTTACTTCTTGTTTATTTATGTGTAGGTTTTTTCACTTATGTTCAGCAAGTATTTTGTGTTAGTATGTGTAAGGTAGATAAAGCTTAACTCTCTACTGCCACAACCGATTCTTTACCCCCCCTGATTTTACCCTGTAACACAGCAATCCTCAGCCTTTTAGCAACCGGGGACCAGTTTCATGGAAGACAATTTTTCAATAGACCAGGAAGAGGGGCGAAAGCTTCATAGCCTGTCACCAGATGCAGCTTAATTGTCACTCGCCACTCACTGATAGGGTTTTGATATGAGTTTGCGAGCAATCGATTCCTTACAGTCTCTGTGCAGTCAGCTGTCTCTGCTAACGATAATCTGTATTTGCAGCTAGTCCCCAGCGCTAGCGTCGCTGCCTCAGCTCCAGCTCAGATCATCAGGCATTAGGTTCTCATAAGGAACATGCAGCCTAGATCCCTCGCATGTATGTTTGCGGTCCTCTGAGAATCTAAAGCCCCCGCAGACTTGACTGGAGGCGGAGCTCAGGCCATAACACGAGCAATGGGGAGTGGCTGTAAACACAGATGAAGCTTCACCTCTTGCTGGGTGGCCGGTTCCTAACAGGCCACCATGGACCAGTACCAGTCTGCGGCCCAGGGGTTGGGGACCCCTGCTGTAACTCACAGTTAACAAAGGTTAGAAGGAATTGAAGTTTATGTGCCTCTGTTTTTTCAAATTTGGCAAACCATGGAAACTAGTACCAATGTCTTAATTACATCTGAGCCCAGAGAAGGGGAGTCCTGCTGGCTGTCTACCCGACTGTTGCAAAAGAAATGCTTGCTAGTTATGTTGGCCTCTGTTTATGTTATGTGAGTGCTGTTTGATAGTAGAATCTATAGAGTGTACAAACATGGTCCTCACCATGCACTGTGGAAGGTTTCTTTTCCCCTAAGAGACAGTTGTTAATTTTTTTCTGGAATCTTCGCAATTTATAATGGTCAAATGCCATTGAAGAAGAAACCTAATTTGCCTTTATAGGGTCATGGAGGTTCAGTTGTGCCTTTAAAAAAGCAAAACCAAACCCACGTGACTGATTTTCTCCTTGTGTTTTAGGTGTTCTTTATTCCTTCATTCTTACATTCACTTCATAAATATTTACTTAATGCCAATTAAGTAATGCCAATGTCTGGCACTGGAATACATCCTTTTTTCACAGAGTTCATATTTGCATGGGATGACAGACATTCAAATTAGCAATTACAGGAGAGGTGAGATGTTGCATAGTGTTACGTTGTGTACTAGATTATAGGACAGAGAGGAAGGGTATCTAGCTCAGGCTAAGGTTCCAGCTTTTTGCCGGAAGTGATGCACTGTGGGTTCTAGGATGAGTAGAAGTTGGCTACATGCAGCTGCAGGGATGGGAGAGTGTGGGACCTGTAAGGCTTAAATGCCAGAAAGGACTTGGTGCGTGAAGGCAATGAGAACTCTGGATGTCTGGAGCATAGGATGGAAGAGAGGGTGGAGGAAGACAAGGCTGGACTGCTTAGCAAGGGTCAGATTGAGAAGGGCCTTGATGCCTTGCAGTGGAATTAAAGAAAATTTCCATGGTTTTAAATAGCAAGGGCATATCATTAGCTTTGTATTTAAAAGATCAGTCTCATAGACATATGAAGAATGGGGTAGACAATGACGGAGGAGGTGGCAGCGAGATGAGGAAGGAGCCTGTGCCGGTTCAGATGGGAGGCGATTGTCCTGGGCCGCGTTTGTAACTGATGCAAGAGGGAGGTAGACAGAGTGGGGCAACAAAGCGACCGATTGAGTGACTCAGTTCCTTACAAAGTTCCTAAATCCAAGAATGTGCACACACAGGTTCCTCTTGTACTTATTTCTGTTTTCTGAATGTGTAAACTGTTTTGGCCAGGAAACTTCAGAGCAGAAGTGTCAGTGTTTCACAGGAAACCAGCATTAAAGGGTATTTACAAACCAATTAAATGTTAATAGCTTTCCCACTTCCTGGGTATTTGGTATTTCCACTAACCCAAACTGTAGACATAGTGCACACTCAGTCCTTATTATTTGAACGAAGGACAGTCAGTCTAACTCTGATTCCAGGTGACCCCAGCAAAAATTTGTCCCTGACAGGTATCACACAACCACATTGTTACTTTGCCTTTTTGATATTAAATTTTCTTAAACACAAAACATGAGCAGTAATAGCTAATATGTAAGGCCATCAATTAACTGAGTGTTTACCATTTTAAAGTGGCTAAAGACTACTTTAAAATAACATCTGATATTCCTCATTTTAATAACGAGGATGCTGAGGCTGGGGATGCTGGGGGTGAAGGGTTCTTAAAGGACTTGTCTCCAAATTGCAGAGCTGGAAAGTGTGGAGTCAGGATTCGAACTCAGATCTGTCCGACTTCAAAGCCTGTCTCAACTCCCTGTGTGATATTTTATTCTCATTGTCCACCAATGAATACATTACTTCCTGCTGAATATCAGGATTTCCGTTCCCTCATTTTTATGATGAAACAGTTCACATTTGTTGAACATCTTCTGTACTGGGCACTGTCTCTCATTCTCCTTAATTCTCATCACCACCCTATGAGGAAGGTTACGCAGTTTACTGAGGGTTACACAGTAAGTGGGTGAGGAGATGTTTGAACTGCCTCCCCATGGCCTTTTCCCCTCTGAAGTTAAGGAACAACCAGACTAGAGTGTTGAGACTTAGAGGAGGCAATGGGAGATCCTGGGAGACTCCAGGCAGTAGTGCTGCATTTAGTATAATTAAATGTGAGCACCCAGAAAACGGGCCAGAGATACTATGGTAAGCAGTGTTTTAGTGTGACAATTTTTTGTTTTAGGTGCTGTTACACTACCAAACTGTCAGTGAACCTGCTGTTATTAAACGACTGATTAGTGTCTTAAACAAAAGCACAGGCGAAGTCACTAAGAAGAAACCTAAGTAAGTATTTTATGCATAAATAATAAATAATAAACAGAATAAATAATAAATGCATAAATAATAAACAGAAGCAATTTAAGAAAATTTCTTGCAGTTTAATTTATTTGTGTAATGTTTTTTGGGGTGACAAGTGAAGTCTATTTTTACTTGCTCCAAAAATAATTTTTGAAGGACTAGATTAAAACAGACAGAAAACTCAATATTTAAACTCCTAGATAGGTATGAATGTGAGATACAATTTCTGTCCTGTATGGTAGTGTTGGTGGGATGTGAATTGTAAATAAAATGGAAATAAAAATTTATATGTATGTATCAAGCAATATAAAAATAAAGGCATTTAAAAATCATCTCTACATTTTAAAAGATGAGTGTGAATTGTGACTGACACTGGGTCAAATCCCTGCTGAGCGCTCCTCTTAACTTTCTCGCCAGCTCCTTAATGAGAGCCATTCTGCCTGCTAAGAACACCCCTGGGAGAAAGTGAACTGCACACTCTGTAGCTCCTAGCTTTTCCCTCCTACAAAGTAGTTTCCTTCTGCTCGATGAGCACATGGAACATTAAGCTGAGCTAATTGCCGTCTTGTTGGTCCCCTCTACTTACCGTGAATGTCCAGGGCCAGGTGTAGACCGTTCCCCTTTGGCTGGGACAAGGTGAGGATGTTTGAAAGGAAGTGCTTCCTGAGAAACTTGAGTTTCCTACCCTCGTTCAAATAAAGGCTAACCACAGTTTGGCTTGGCTGCTTCAGCTTTGGGGTTTTCCTCACTTCAACGCTGGGGGGAATCCCACCCCAAAATCCCCTTTTTCAGTCCTTGAGTGTTCCTCTTCATATGCACCTGTGTGAGAGGCCAGAGGTAGTTTAGTGGGTTTATGGGTTGGCTGCAAGTGGAAGAAAGACTCCTCACATTGCTCTCAATGCACGGCTGTTTCTCTGTTAGTTATGAAGAAAGGGCCACTTACCCTCTTCAAGATGGTTCTTTATTTTTAACCTCAGCCTTTAGCTTCTAGCATGAGTGTCTGCCATCATGTTCTGAGATGTGATACAACTAACGGCTAACATTGCTGGAGGACCACTATAGTCCAGGCTCTGCCACGAATGCTTTCACACGGTTTACATTCTCAGGAACTGTACGAAGCAGGTACTATATTTTCCCTGTTTTCAGGTGAGGAAACTGAGGCTCCAGAGAGGTTGTATGACATGTTCAAGGTCTCAAAGCTAGGAAGTCGCAGAGCCACAGTTATAGCACAGTCAGTTGTTTCCCATAAAGTATGGTTTTTTTTTTTGACAGGAGCCAGGTTGTTTGACCCAGGCAAGTGATTTGGAGAATTCTCAATCTGAAGTTGGCTCATCAAATCCAATCCTGAGTTTCCCCCTTCCTGCGTTAAAGTGCTTATAGCTCAGTGGAATAAGGTCTTAGTATTCTCATGTTAGCTCTTCCTGTCACCTTCTTTATAACGCAGTCCTTTTCTTTTAATTTGCACCAACACCATTTGGCCTTTTCTTTTCATGTCCAGTAAAGGCACTTTGTAGACTCAGTTGCTTTATATGGAATGGAATTGACCTTTCTAGAAACTAAGCACAAGTCATAAATGAGATCCTCTCTTTCCTAAGGAATGAGACTTTGGGCTGAAATTGTCTCAAACCAGTATTTGGAAATGTTGCAGTACTTTTTTGGATACTTGTTTGGCTTATTCTAGCATTCTTTCCCTGAGCTAGTTTTTCAGGAGGTGAATTTATGATTACTGTCCTCTGCCCTTCTCGAGCACATCAAAATTAAATTAGAGAACAATTTAGAAATGTCCCCTTTGGACTTCCACTTCGTTAGTAAGTATGGGTGTTGTGTCCATGCACAAGGATTTTTTTTGCTTCTCTGTGTGAACCTGTTTACGGTCAGGCCCGTGCCCCATCCCCCTTCACTGCTCACATGCATCATATTGAGGGAAAATCTTCTTATGCAATTTTGTCCTGAAGCTGTTAAAGAGCCACTATTTCAGTGTGAGAAGAGAGGAGGGAGGGAGGTAGAGAGTAGTCCCTTGGCACTAGGAGATTACTCTGTTTATATATAACTTCCTAACACATACTGCCCCAATCAGAATTTTACTGGGGGAGACATAGAGCATTGCATTTCTCCTTGAAAGTGCAAGTGCCTCTCAGTCTTTGTTAGATAATTGCACCTTTCAGTCTCATTGAGAGAAGGCTTTGGTGGAAGGGCCTTGAGCATACGCTAGGTCATAGTATCCTTCAAAGGGTAGTTGCATTTGAAAGATTACATAGAGAGAGATGAACTAGCTAACATTTCTTTAAAGAATATATGTATATATGTGTGTGTGTATATGAGTTACATTTGAAAGATACACACACACCAGCTAGTAGTTGTTAAATCTAGAATTTCTGCGGTATTTGTTTTCAACAAACCCAGAAAAATTCAAAGGACACATTTTCATTTTAAGAAAATTTTTTTCTTTTTAAATTTTTGAAAGACTAAGTTGATTTGTTCATTGCGAAATACTCATTTTTCAGGTTGTTATTAATTTACTCACCCCTTTTGGATGTTCATTTGTTCCTTTTCCTTTTTTTTTTTCCCTTGATAGATTGTTGACTAAAGGCCAGAATGCACTGGTAGAGCTACAGACACAAAGACCAGTCGCTCTCGAGCTGTACAAAGACTTTAAGGAGCTGGGGAGATTCATGCTACGTTACAGTGGTTCTACAATAGCTGCTGGCGTCATCACTGAGGTATTCCAAAGTGACCAATTGTGTGTCCGTGGTTATGGTGTCTTTTTCTACTTTTTAGAATGATGACTGAAATTTTATGACTGAAGGAGAACACAGTTATTGGATTAGAGCAATAAATTTTACAACTTATTAAAAATAATTAAAAAGAAAGATGAGGAGAAAATGGTCTTAGAACTTTCCGCAAGTAAGACTTCCAAACTGTTTTCTCTCCCAGTAACATTGCTCAAAATTAAAGGAAATCCATTGAAAAATCTGTAAGTATGCAATCCAAATTGTGCGAATACAGACTTTAAAAGTCAAATGCAGTGAGGGTCGTAATTTTATTTACTAGAGGAGCACTTACTAAAATTTTTTCTTTAGCCCTGGCTGATGTGGATCAGTGGATTGAGCACTGGCCTGCAAACCAAAAGGTTGCCAGTTCAATTCCCACTCAGGGCACATGCCTGGGTTGCGGGCCAGGTCCCCATCAGGAGGCACACGAGAAGCAACCACACATTGATGTTTCTCTCCCTCCCTTCCCCTCTGTCTAAAATAAATAAATATAATGTGTAAAAAAAATTTTTTCTTGAAATTACTGGTTTTCAGGGCATTTGAAATGATTTGTTCAAAAAGTTCAATGAGCATATTAGTAATGTTTCTGAAACAAAGCTATCATATAATGTGAGATGCCATTAGGTTTTAGATAAAATAGCCAGAGATGGACCAAAAACTTTGAATAATTAAAATTTTTCCCTACATTACCATGATTAATATAAATCTTATGAATATTATATTTTAAGGGGATTTGTTTCATTTATGTAATTATTTTTTGCATAAAACGTCTTCAAAACATTTAATTGGGTGTACACGTTGAACATAGGCCTTTGGGTGGTATCGAAATTCCTTTCTATGTGTATAATGTGCAAGGCTCTGGGGTGGAATTGCCCAGGTTTGCGTTATTGCTCCAGTGATTCCCGGTAGCACAAGCACAACATTTGTCCTTCAGTTTATTCTTCCATAAAAACGAGTAACAGACGCTGCCTCCCAGAGGTGGGGATGTGAAATGAGAGGATCGGCAGAAAGACCTGGCGCAGTGACTGGCACATACACAGCGTTCAGGGAATGTTAGGTCCTATCACTGCCGGCAGTGTCACGTTGGATCCGCCAAAGCCTCCTTTGTCAGAGAGCGTGCTGAGAATAAAACGCCATTTCCCATGGGGAATGACAGAGAGATTATAGTTAACCTCAGGAATACCCTGACTAGGGAAGGGAAAAGTGGAGGGGAAAAGAAAAACATTTGCTCTTGATATAACGATTTTGGTGCCATTTGCCTTTTGTTGCTTGTTCTTTTACTGGGATGGATTAAATGTTAGCTAATATGTTTTTCTCTTTTACAGATAAAAGAATGATGGGTCAGAATTTCTACCACGTTTCCAAAGGCAAGGAAATGACTAACCTCTTTTTAAAGAATCCGGTTACTCAGTTAAAGGAGAAATGTGCAACTGATATTTTTTTTTTAAATGAGAGAATATTAAAGCTAGAATCAGCTGCAAAGAAGTATTTATCATCACTGCTGCAAAAATTTCAAGTTGCCAAGCTGATTTTAAAAACCAGCTTTCCCTGTGAAGAGTTAGTAAATGGATTTACTTTGCCAAGATTTATGGAAAACTATCAGAACTATATATTAGAAGATGTGGGTTCATCATGAAATGAACTCTACTTCCAACCAAACCACGAAATGTTTACAGTTTTCTCTTGGTCTTCAACTGTACTGTATACATTTTAAGGAAAAATACTAAATTGGGTGGTTGAGGTAGTCAGTATTTAAGAAAGGTGATCTTTTTCTGATTAACTCTAAGATTTGCTGAAGATTATAATAAAGGTATTTTATGTTGAACATAAAAATATTCTTCCTCCAACAAGTCAACTTTTGAAAGATTAGGTTGGAATTAGTGGAAACTCTTTGTTATCACAGGTATTATTTAAGGTGTAACTAATAAAATAGGTTGAGCATATCAGAAAAATGTGTCGTTTCTTCAATGTGTATGAGATTCTCTACCACTATCACTAAATATGACTTTGGGTTTTTGTGGGATCTTTTTCACCTAAGAGTTTCCCAGCACTTTCACATGAATTTTTGGTTTCTTTCCTGATAGCGGATCAAATTTTGTCTCATTCATTTCTAATCATAACTTTATTTTTCCCATTCTCACATTGAGAAGTACATGTACAATGATTCTGTGTTTATTTTGTATACCTGCAAATGAGAATCCTGTTTTTCTTCAAGTTTTAACAACAAACTCCAAGGTGTATGTAGACAACAGGTATTGTTGGGCTCCCCCTGGGTACAGGTTGCTTTAGAGTAGATTTTGCCCTCAGCTGAGCCTGGAAGCTGATCGCATGGAGCATATGCCAAACTTTTAAAATTGGGACATGATGTGATTTGTATATTGATGGCTTGCCACATACAACAGCATTTTTCTTCCTAATTGAAGAATATCATGCATGGTAACGTGCACAGAGCATCAATGTGCTGCTTGGCGAGTGATCACAAAGCGAACATACCCATGTAATGCATTTCTTTACTCAGAAGTATTTGTGCAGTTGTCACTTTAGAGTGAACTTGCTAAGGTAAGAAAGTGTTTTCTTTCTATATGATAGTCATTGGGAATTTAATGGAAACTTAATTTAAAGTAACCTAAGACACAGAGAAAGAGTAGCGATAGCGCTGACTTGGGATCGGTCTAGGAGGAGCAGCTCACGTCAGCGAGGCCTCATCGGTGCTCTGCCTTCTCTAGTGCTGCTATGGCCTTCAGGCTCCCTACAGAGCCCCCGAGATTCTGCACTGAGATCCTCAGAACCTCATCCAGGGCAAAGACAGGCGAAGAGAGCATGTCTTTTTGCAGAAGCCCTAGAAACATGTCCTCATGGACTATAACTGAGTTTATTTCCTTGGGGCATTCTTGGGGTTTGATTTGAAGTGAGTATCACTCAAAACACATAGCTTGAGAATTGTGGGAGGGTTGGGAATTCAGGGTCCCTTTAGGAAGGGGAAATGGATTGGCAAAGATGGTGGCAAAAACGAGAAACATCTACAAGGCCATGATATAATTAAGAATTATACAGAAGAACTTAGCATAAAATGCATAGTAGTAGCAATAATAGAAATGAATGAGTCTATTTCTTCCTTCTTGTGATAACGTACAGTCTTTTTGTGCACACTGTGTTTACAATTGATTGTTGTTGGTGGCGGTGTTGACTTTAGAACATTTGGAAAATACCAAAAAGGGGAAGGAAGAATGAAATTCACCCATAGTCATTGTCTCAATATTACTGCTGCTAACATTTTGGGGTATTTCTTTTCTGCTTCTCTAGTGCATAGTTAAGATCTTTTTATTTTAATGCAGTCAAGATTTTTCAGTGGAAATAGCAGTGGCTTTTTAAATGTAAATAAATACAAAATTATAGACCCTGATGAATTTGAATCAGTCAAGATCATGAATAAATAAATAATACTTCTAGAAAAGATGGCCCAGTAAAAACTATTGGGCCATCATCCTCCAATTTCCCTCTAAAATAGCCCAGGAAATATAGGAATAAAAAATATTCTTTTTTCCCTAAACATGAACCGCCATATCCCAGGCGCAGGAAAGAGCTCTGGAGCTCAGGTCTTCTTAGGGCTGACAGGGTTCAGTACCCTAAATGACAAGTGAGGACTAATAGTACAAAACATCCAGGAGGAATGTATTCTAAAGACAATGCAGAAGGGAGTGGGGGGGGGGCATTAATTCTGAAGTAACATTTTACTTACAGAAAAGTTTCTTTTGAGTCCAAGTAACTCAACCTGTAATTACAATCTCTCTCCTGCCAATTCAGAAATGGGTCCCTAGCACATCTGATTGTTCAATGAATGAAAGAATTAATGCTGGTGGTAGTATTACCGATAGTTTTAATTTTTCTGTCTTTCTAAAGGTTACAAGTTGTTATTTCCATTACAATGCTGTGTGTGAAGAGGCTGTTTCTACAGTGAAGGGGCAGGGGGTGGGGTGGGGACTTGTTAGATGCTAACTTGAGAACTGCTTCTGTCTGTCCCCTTGTTGGTGAGCCACAGTCCCAGTTTGGAGTCTTTCCTGAACGTGGGCGACCCTCGTAAGCCTGAAAATGAAAAGTAGCTTGTACTTTAGAAAGGGAGACTGCAGGCAGCTGGCTGCCAGGGACTCTCCTAGCCCTCAAGTGGACTGTGAGGTGGCCGAGCATAATTGCTACATTCCTACTGGGTTTGGATATATTTTAATTTAAAGACGATTTTGAAATACAGTAACAGGCCTGTGGAAACACCTGCAGTACGTGAGTTAGTTTTCTTAGCACCTGGAGGCGGAAACCTTTCATGTGTATGGCAGGAAACAAAAGTTTTCTTTAAGTAACTGCTACATGGTGTCTGTAAGTGTTAAGATAGGGTTGCAGAGTTGAGAAAAGAATCAGTTTAGGTTAGAAATGACTACATAGGAACCTAAATCATCAGAGGAAAATTGAAATATTCATTGAAGGCTGAAAAATAATTAATAATCAGAGAAAGTGTAATTAATGATAGGGAAGTTGTCTCTGGGAACCACCCATAGAATTAAATAGCTGGAAAGAAACTGGAAGACCCCAGGATTGTACAGGAAGATAGGCACTGTATTTTATGTAAAATGTCACAAAGGGATTACAGCTGCTTTTTCTGTTAAAACATTTAAAATTTTAAGATTAGAGCAAAGCTTGGGAACAAAAGAAACCCCAAGAAGTTGCCTTCAGGGAAACAAGAAATTAGCCTCAGTCTTTTCTGCAGCACTAAATTTCAAAAGACAATGGAGTATAGGAGCTAAATATATGAAACTTTAAATTAGAAGGGTTGTATCCCACAAATTCATTAACTCAGCTATGGCATTGTTTATAGGTGAAAGTAAGAAGGTTTCAGAAGATGCCCTGGGAGGGGGGTGTAGGGAGTAGGGAGGCAGAATTTAAAATGCTAATCATAAATAGATAGTTCAGAGCTTTAAGATCGGTGGGGGAGGGGGGGCGGTCATGGTAGAAAATTCTGCAGCAAGTGTATCATTCGTTGATGTCATTAGTCAAAGACCGGGAAGACACAACTGTACTCAAAACTAGTTTTTATTGAGGCTTGTTGTAGCCACAGAGACCACACACCTTGGTGCTTCTCAGTAAGAAGGTGTAAGGAGGGGTTTGTTAAAGGATTTGAGCATGTGTAGTAATATTCAGGAGGGCTCAAGTGAGTGAGAGCCTCTTCTGGATTGGATGCTGTCAGCAGGTGGGAGTAACTCCACAACTGAGTATCAATTTTTATCTAGGAGATGGGAATGGGACAAGGTCAAGCAAGCAGCAGCAGTTCCTCTTGCTAGCCACAAGAGGGGGTGCCTAGTCATTTTTATGGTTTGCACAGGGACTTTGGGCCCTTCCTCAAGATCACAGTGACCTTTTCTGACACGGGAGGTCTGGGAATTGTTAATGTTCAGTAGGAGAACACCGCGGCCGGGCTGCAAGTGCCAGGCCAGCTTTTAGTTCTCAGAAGCCGCTTTTCTCTCACACTGAAACCACTTAAATGTGCAGAAGTAAATTATACAATGCCCCTAACCCCATCTTAAAGCTTTGAACTATCTATTTATGATGAGCATTTTAAATTCTGCCTCCCTACTCCCTACACCCCTCTCCCAGGGCATCTTCTGAAACCTTCTTACTTTCACCTATAAACTGCCATAGCTGAGTTAATGAATTTGTGGGATACAACCCTTCTAATTTAAAGTTCTATATATTTAGCTCCTATACTCCATTGTATAAAACAAAATAATGAAGTAGGTCAATTAAATTACACCGCGAATATGGGAACATGAAGTAGGGGAAGAAAAAGAGTCAGACTGCAAAGCTAATGATATGCTATTTACAAAATAAAACCAGAGGTTGCGAGAAAAAAAGGCACAGATGTATCAGGGAAGTAAAAATAAGTACCATGGGTTGGGTGTCTACCATGTGCCAGGCAATTTTCACACATTAGTTTATTTGATAGGACATTTTTACAATTATATGAGGCAGGCATTATTAAGTTCCCATAGACAAGAAAGCTGAAGTTTGGAGAGATTAATGAAGACTAACGAATTACAGAGCCATGACTTAAATTTGTATTTAAGTCTGACTGGAAGACATGTTCACTACGCTACATGGCTTCTCCAGAAATTGGGAATAACCATTAATACTGGACTAAGAATTTAAAGCAAGCAAACAAAGAACGCTTAATTATGATAAGGAGAACCATTTCATACTGATAAGAGGGACAATCATGAGTACAAAAATAAGACTGAAGTACCAAATAGCATCAAAATGCATAATGAAAACATACTAGAAATTTGAAAATATATAAATACTCTTATTAAGGGAATCTCAACAGCACTGCATCATAGATCATGGAAACAAAAAGTCATAGAGGACTTGAGTAACATAATAAAATAGAAAGAACATATATGCAAAGCGAATGCAGTTATAAGTTGTTTCCCTCCAGAATTTGATAATGAGGGAGATACTACTGCTCCCTGAGAATCATGTTATCAAGGCAGCTCAGTGGGCCAGACCACAGAGGCGGAGTCATCTGTTAGCTTTACAATGTCTTAAACACAGGAAGCTTCCCTTGCTCTGCTACAGACGTTGGGGTTATTGGTTGTGGAATATAAAATAGTTGGGGGAAAACATTTAAGTCTAATATTTAATTAAGGAAAAGGTGGGAATGTGAATAAGCAAGAGTAGATTATAAAAAAATGACCTGGCAAGTTTAAAATCCACCAAATATGAGTCTTAAGAATGAAAATATAAAAGTGAAGCTAAAAACTGGTACGTCAACAAACAGATTGTTACAACTAAAAAGAATGACACAAATATATAGTCTATATGCATAAATATGTAATATATAAAATACATATATATAATATGAAGTGGAATCAGTATAGCCTTAAATATTTTTATTATCAACATAGAGAAAAGAAAATTAACTAAACATTTAACTAAAAAACCTAGAAAAGATACAACTGTGAAGCTGGGGGTGTCCAGAGCTTATTGTTTTCTGTTGGGTTGTTCATTTCTCCTCCCAGTTTGTAGAAATTCTTACACACTTGACAGGAGTTTCTTGTGTGTTGCATCTCACATACACTTGTGGGTTGCACTTGCATCTCCATGGCGCATCCGGGGAGGTGGGGCTGCTGCTGCAGCCCTGGCTTCAGGAGGGAGAGGACACGGAGAGAGAAAGCATCCGAGGCGGAGAGGCTGGTGAGCAGTGGGAAGAGTCTGTCCCCAGTTACCTCTATAGGGTGAGGGCAGAGATGCCTTGAGAAAAAGCACATGGTTTAGAGACCAAAGGATTTAAGTTCATCCTTGACTACTATGCATGCAGTCGTGGACAAATGAACATCTCTGAGGCTCAGTTTCTTCTACAAAATTGGGGAGGTGATGACATTTTATAGAAGAGCGTTGTGTGGAATAAATGAGTAAATACATGGAAAGCACCTGCGTCAGGGCCTGGCACAATGTACAGTTTACAGTGTGAGCCCAATAGCATGATGAAGCGGGAGCTCTGTCCCGTGGTGTCCCCCAGCGTCGCAGATGAGATGAAAATGCCCAACGCAAGATCTGCTTGGGGAGGAAAGGCTGTCTGATCTCTCAGAGGAGAAGAGCCGTGAGCACCTTTCTCCTTGGGCTTTTATTGAGTTTAGCTTGTATAGGGATGCATAGCATGCACGTAAATCTCATTAATCAATGTTGAACAGTAATGATTAAAGGAAGGAGATATGGTTTAAGAATAACAGTAAAGGTATTACAAGAGTCTTTCTGAGTCAGGGTCTGGTAGACAGAGTGACATCCATTCGGCCTTCAAACCTGGGAAAATAAACATATCCTATGCTTGGACCTCAAACACTAGTACTCATTAACTCGAGGGCATTCTTAGCAAAGCAGGTTTCATAGTACTTAATGCATTCCTTTTCCAGGCCTCATTGCCCCTGGGAACCACCTGATCGGTTTTGGACTGCGCTTGTCTCTAGCATTGCTTCAAACCTGGGTCAGCAGTAGGGAGCAGAGCAGCCAAGAGATGAGGAGACTTCTGTCAGAGAGAATGAGGACTCCGGCCATGACAAAGCTGGGGGGTGAGGGTCTTTTTCCCTTCTCTGTGTCCCCTAATTCCTTTCCTGATGGCCCCTATGCAACTGTGCCTGTCTTAGGTTGTCCCTGGCATCAAGGGATCTTACCCATCTATCATTGACTCACCAGCCGTCCTCTGGAACCAAGCAGACTGATGTGAGGGAGGCAGGGGCTGTGCCCATGCCAGGGGGACAGGTTTTGTCCCTCAGTGGCCTACTTTCCCAAGGCCTCCTTGCTCAGCTCCAGCCTTGGGGCCTTCTCGCCTGTCAGCAAGGCTACAGTCCCTGAAACCAGGCGGGACGGTTCCCAACAACATGATACACGCAGAGCCTTCAAACAACTTTATTTGTATTTATTTTTTAAGAGATTTTATTTATTTTAGAGGGATGGGAAGGGAGGAATAAAGAAGGGGAAGAGAAACAGGAGAGATACGTTGATCGGTTGCCCCTTGCATGCCCCTAGCTGGGGACCTGGCCCGCAACCCAGGCCTGTGCCTTGACCAGGAATCAAAAAGGTGACCCTCTAGCCTGCGGGCCAACATTCAGTCCACTGAGCCACACAGCCAGGGTGCTTTCTGAGGATTTTAAAGGACCACAACGATGGGTTAAAGGGACATGGAGAATCTTCCCTGTTTATGCCAGAGCTGTTATGGTAATGAAGTGTAGGCATGCTCTCTCCCAGGGTGAACTGGGCCTTCTCCCTGGGGAGGATAGTACTTTAAACATTTAACTCCCTTCAGGGAGAACTGGTCCTTCTCTCAGAGGGACCTGTTGGTTGGCTAAGTCACCTAAGGCTCTTGGTGTGTAGCCACTTTTGTCTAAAACATTTAATTGGAATTCCACCCGAGAGGAGGGTGCTTCGCTCAGGACTTTCCCAGTCGGACCCTGAATGCTGCCTCCAGGATTCCCCAGCATCTATGTTCGGGTGTTGGTGAATTCCTGTCTGGTGATCTATGCTCTTGATTCTTGATTTGGCTTTGCTCTTGCTTAATAAAGTGCTTGGTTATCCATATCTGACGGGGTTTTTATTGTCTGCAAATCCAAACAGCCAAATTAAGCAGCCACGATCTCATACATGCCCCTCAATGGCACACATGAACAGAACACATAAGCTGATATCATTTACCATATTGTCCACGTCTCATAATGTACTGGAAGTCTGTGAAATACTTGAGGACTGTCCTCATTCAAACTTTGGAGACTGGCACACTCTCAGAGTGTCAGGTCACCTCCCCCTTTCACTGACTGGCAAATGAAGACCTCAGGGCTGGAAATGAGGAGGAGACTGACTCAGGAGCAGGGAAAAGGCAGGGATAACCTCACTGCACGATTATCTAGGGGAACGTCAGGAGTTTGTCAGGAGCTCTCTCACTATGGCTGGAACAAAGAGACTTCTGATGCTGGAAAACTTCATAAATGGGAAATTTTTACCTTGCGACTCGTATTTAGACTCTTATGACCCATCTACAGGGGAAGTGTATTGCAGAGTGCCAAACAGTGGAGAAGAAGAGGTGAGTATGTTCATGTTCAGGAGACTGAAATGGTCTTCTTGTGTTGGTGAATTATGTGTCACTTAATTTTCTAAAGTGGGGCTGGGAAAAGGTGTAGACATGTTAAGTATGAGCAGAAGGCAGATTTTAGTCCAGGGAAGGATTGCTTTGTAACTGGACAGAAACTTAAATTTAACAACATCCTTTTTCTTACTCAATGAGTGCTTATGTCACATACATTAAAATTTTTTTAGTAATATATTAATTGTATTTGAAGAGTTTTGTAAAATATTTGAAATACATTTTATTAGTTATTAGTTACTGCACTGAGCATGTAAATATATCTGGGGTGATAAATGTGGCTGATGTATGTAAAGTCATCTAATGCCTAATGCATTTTAATTAATTTTTTGAAAGTGAGAGGAACTAGATTATTTAAAAGATAATTGTAGCCTTAAACATATAATGAAGCAGAATATACAAGTTTATTTTGGGTGGAGGACTGGCTGTTATTTTTTTCTGTTTTAATAATAGTTTAAATCTGTCTTGCATTATCAAGAACCTTGCCTTGTGGATTAAAGGTTGCAAATATTGACCAATGTTGGTTAAACTGTACCCACACTTTTGTTTGTTTTAGATGATATTGGATAGATGTCAGAAATCAATCTTTGTGTTTTCCAACCCTCCTTATCTCAGAGTGTTTCCCACAGTGAAGTTAAAACTGAAAAATATGACAAATTTGGTTGAAATATTTTTTGCAGCTAACGGCTTATGCATTTTTGAGTTATGAATGCATGTGCTAGTGCATTCATAACTCAAAATGTTTTGGATTCCCTAGCAATGTAACTTGCAAATATTCTATTTAATCCCATAAATCCTATTTTTTCCTGGGATTGAGAAATATGGTCACTGTACAAACTACTTGCCCCATTTCTCCAAAGGTCACTCACAGAAATACTGCTGGCACTGCTCACAGTGGTTCCCATTTATTTAGTTTTTGTTACAGGCTTTGCATACATTATGCTCCTTAATATAAGTTGTTTCACATACGAGTGATAACCTACAAGTTACGCTCTGTCCTCATCCGTATTTCTCAGAGGACAGTATGCTAGCACTCTGATCTCTGATGCTTAGGCTTCAGTCCATAGTCTCTCTCACACACAGAAACACACTTGTGTTATGGTAGCATTTGCATCAGAGCTTCAAAGCACAGACTAGAGTTAGCCTGGCTCAAAGGATCACCTGCACCCTTAGTATCTGTGGTCTTGACCCACAGCTGAACCTGCTGTGCCTCAGTCTGTTGTCTCTGAAGTGGGGATAATCACGTCTACTTCATAGTGTTGTTCTGGGGATTAAATGGACTGATTTAGGTAAAAGCTTTAGAGTCTGGCATATAGAAAGTGTTCTAAGTATTATCTCTTGCTGATATTATATATATTTGTGTATAATATGGTAATATTGTATAGGAGATTAAAGTATATTCTATATTAAATTGACATAAGATATATGGCATAAAAATTTAGGAATTATGACTGGAATTGAGTGTTTTGCTTATCAAAATGATTAGATTTTACATTGATAACTGTAGGAAGATTAGGTTTTTACCTCAATAGCTGTAGGAAGAGTAGAATGTACACTAACAACCATAGGGTAATTAGGTTTCTGTACTTTTTTTTTTCATAAAGAAAACAGGAGAGATGTGTAAATAAGATTTTGCATAAGAGGGCTAGCTAGCATAAGCCCTGGAGGCTGAATCAGCAGGTCACAGGGGATGAGAAACACGCTGTGGCTGCCTGTGAAGCCTGTGGAAGAGGATTCTGGGGCCGAGCCTGTGGGCCCAGGGGTGGAAAAAGGCTGTGATTAGGACTGTTTGTCATGCATGTGAGAGAGAATAGGGTGGAGCCCAGTCTGTGGATTTGCTCTCTCTAGAAAAGGCACTACTTAGGCATGGCCTAAGAGAGGAGAGGGACAAATGACCTAAAAATTTATTCTGCCTTCATTAGTTGGCCTTGCACATACCTTCCCATAGTTATTTCCTTTTGGCTGTAGCTCTATAACCAGGTCCCCAGGCTCACTGTTTAGCCACAAAGACCCTTCTCTCCAACAGAGGCCTCTTCCATTGGGCGGACAGTCCGGGAGCAGGGGGTAGGGACTGTGGTTGTGCCAGAGCAGGCCAGCCGCGGTCTTGGCAGCCACAAAGATCTGGGTTTGAATCCTGATTCTGCCAGTTATTGGCTGGGTGACCTCTGGCAAGTTGCTTGAGTTCTCTGAGTTCTGTTTTTGTCATCCGTAAGTGGGCAAAGCAATATTCATGTTACAGAATTAAAGCGGTTAAATGAAATAATGTGTGTAAAGCATTTAGCATATTCCCTTATATATAAAAATTAGTCAGTAAATGATCAGTATGACCGGTCATTCCATGTGGGATGACAGTGATTTCAAACAAAACTAGACTTTATCTGATACATCAACGCGGGATGAAGAGCTCAGAGATTCTATGCATCTCAACTAAGTTCCCTCTCTCATATGATATGTTTAAAAGTCTGTATTTTGAAATGACTGAAAATGTCCATCTGTTAAAATTCAAATAGCTCCTTTCTATAATTATCTGACTGCACATTCTGGATAGGTTGGTCCAAGTGGAGCATTTTTGGTTTTGTGGTGCCCCCTGCTTTGCTGGTCACGAACACAGCCCCCTTGTGGGGAAGTCAGCGCTGGCAAAGTGTTGAAAATTTGAAATTAGGCAGAAAAAAAAAAATGGCTGGCATGGATTCCGAATTCACGCCACCCCTGGGGAGCGACAGTTTTACAGCGACCCTCTCCGACCCTCTTCCGTTTGCTCCTCGAAGGTAGAGGCTGCGGTGGAGGCCGCCAGAGCCGCCTTCCCCGGCTGGGCGTCCCGCAGCCCGCAGGAGCGCTCGCAGGTGCTGCACCGGCTGGCCGACCTGCTGGAAGAGTCCCTGGAGGAGCTGGCTCAGGCCGAGTCCAAGGACCAAGGTGAGAGCCGGCGCATCCGCGGAGCTCTCTCTCCCTGGATGCTTTGTGGAAAGCACAATCCAGCACTCAGATGCTGGGGTTCATCTGCTCCTTCCCGTTTATCAGAGGAGCTCTTACCTCTTAATCCTACTGGATAGAGCTGGGCGCTTTCTGCATGTGACCACCAGGGAGCAGGCTTGCTTGTCAGGCAGCAGGAGACTTGGCCACAAAGATTGCCAAGGCCTCTGAAGGCTGCGTGGTCAAAGCGAGTCCCTGCGAAAACCGAGTTCAAGAGTCAATCAATATACTCTGTTTGGCGGAAGCAGCGGCAAAGGTGTACGTCTAGCGGCACGGATCTGCAGAGGGAGGAAGAGCTAGGGTTGACTCTGCGATCTTTCACCACTTCTAAGTGGCGAATTTCAAAGCAAAGATAATTTGCCGAGCAGTTGCACAGCCGCTTTAACTGAGGTCGCTGAGATACCACCATTCTGCTTCCAACACAATTTCCCAGTTTTTGAAAACTGCTTCCCAGAAGTTAGGGTAATGGAGTGAATGTCTGTAAATCCTCGCAATAATATCTGTTAGGAAAAGCCAAGACTGTTTAAAATTGTATGCCTGATGGAAACCAGCCGAACTTAGGAAGCAGCGTGACCGCCCCCACACCCCGCTCTGCGGTCCCCAGCTCTCAAGAGGAACATGTTTACTGCTGGAGCTGCTGACGCTGCAGTGTCCCTGCGGGTCTCAGGGTTATTAAGTAACAGGCCAGGTCAGCTTAAGTTTTTCTTTTGTTCAGTCCAGGAGCTAGATGTGTGTGGGGCACCGATGGGTCATCCAGTGCCACACGGTGTCCTGTGTCCGGGGTCCCCATTGTTGTTCTGCCACGTGTCTGTCTTAATGCCTCCCCCATGTATTGGGGGGCATTTAATATTCATCACGTGTTTACCAAAGTGGTTTTCTGCGATGTGCAAATACAGCTGTCTTTCCACCCCCGATCCCAACCCCTCTGTAGCATGTCCAAAGCTCGCGATTTTGAGAAGACAGCGCTGGTGTGGGTGAAGTGGCAGCATCTGGCGGATTCGTGATGTCGGCTATGAATCGCTCGGTGCGCAAAGCAAACACCACTGGACTCTACCTTAACCTCCCGCCTCATCTTATAACCTCTTGTAACGTCCTGTCTAATTATCACACGGTGTTATCAAACCCTTCTCATCGTTTTGTATATTCAATGAATGTCCGTCCCAGGCCGGAAGGACTGGAGGTGACTTCAGTGTGATAGTGTCTCCGCTGTCCACGGTGAGATCCACTGATTGCTTTCTGTCGTTGGCTTCTTTCAGGGAAAACCATAACAATGGCAAGAACCATAGACATTCCACGGTCTGTATACAACTTCCGGTTCTTTGCCTCCTCCATCCTCCACCACACGACAGAGTGCACCCAGATGGACCACTTGGGCTGCCTGCACTATACTGTGCGGACCCCCGTGGGGATCGGTAGGTGCTGTTCCGTGAAGGGCTGGACCACGATTGCACATAGAGATAGATGCTCGGTCAGTTCCATAGAATTGAACTAAAGGAACAGACTAAGGAAAAGCAAGGAACTGATTTCTTCTACTTTGACTGACACATAATTGGCCTTAAAATTGATTTCTAGTTCGTTTTCTTTGTGTGAAATTCCCTACTTAATCCTGGAAGATTGTTCTTGGGAAATCACAGGGAAAAGAATGGTGTTGAGAGTAAACTCGGGAGCTAGTATTTTCCCTTAGCAATTAAAAAAAAAGTAGTCTAATTCTGGGAAGTGTTGTGGTTAAGGGCATGGATTCTGGACACATGGGGGGCAAGTTACATAACCTCCGCATGCTTCAGTATTCTTATCTGAAACACTGGGAGAATAGTTTAATCTTGTCTTTTTATATTTGTTTATGAAGTAAATAAATTAATAAGTATAGAACCCTTAGAACAGTGGTAAATAAGCCTTGACTGAATTATCTGCTTTCCCTTTTCATTTCTTTGCTTCCTGCCCTTTGAGGACCCATAAACATCGGCAGTGACTCAAAATATCCACTAGATGTCATGAGTTCCCCTGAAACCCACCCCCACCTCCCCTAACTGTGCATATTTTACTAGTTACATCTTACGATAGGATGAAGGAATAAAAGTTAATTCAGACAGTTCACCACTTTGATCATTTGAACCCTTCAGAAGTAGTATTTTCAAGGCATTATGAAAAACTCAGGCATCCTCCTGAGAAGTACGCTGATATATTACGTTGCAAAAATATTGTTATCCCCTAAAGAAAAGATTTTTCAAGGGGAAATTTAATAATATAAAGTACGTTTACCTTTTTAGCACAGAGTTGAAGGCAGATTATAAAATAAGGTGAATCTAGTTATGTATTCATAATGTAAGTTTTTATTTTTACATGTTTCATGGTTGGGAAGGTGGATGGCTTTTACTATTACATGAAGACACATTCTAGTTGTTGTTTCTGTTACTTATCCAGAAAACCTGTCTAACCAGGATACAGATGAGATCCCAGAGATAACTTTTTTTATGCAGAAATACTCTAGCTAGCCTAAACGGATTTCACCATCTCAGAACTATTTGTTCTTATTTTACAAATAATTCTTAAAAGCTTGGGATTCTCTGTCTCAATCCATAACTTTAGATGCAGAGATGAAGAAACTTTTAACAAATAGTAGCTGCACAGTTTAATGATGAGGAGGAAGAGGTGTAAACACATGTAAGGATAAGTCCATAAATCTCAAAACTCATCACATTATGGAACTGTTTAGTGACAGGTGACAGCCTTTTAGCCTTGAAACTTACTGTTGTTCATAAATATAATTGTCATTCATCAAGACTGAACTGTATGCATTTATAGTTTTAAAAGGCGGAAGCTGTTTCTAATACACTTTGGATGACTTCCTGGAAGCAGGCTAGAATAAGCAAAGCGTGGGGTTTTAGGAGCTATAGTTTCATGAAGCGTGACGAAGTTCCGCATTAGTAAACCCTGTTGGGGCGGTCTGCTTGAGCGCCCCGCGATTGTTGCCAATGCCTCTCTGCTCTCTGTTAGCCGGCCTGATCAGTCCCTGGAATTTGCCGCTCTACCTGCTGACCTGGAAGATCGCTCCTGCCATCGCTGCTGGCAATACGGTGATAGCCAAGCCCAGCGAACTGACTTCAGTGACCGCGTGGATGATGTGCAAATTCCTGGAGAAAGCAGGTAATAAGGCGTTCGAGACTGAGCGAGGATCAGCTTTGGGACTCTACGTTTCATAGGCTTCAGCCCCCGAGGGTCCCTGACATTTGAAAAGTCATTTCGGAAAGAAATCAGCTCAGCAGCAAAACAGATCCCATTGGCATCTTCGGTTTGTGTCTCCCTGTTCCTTTCCTGAGAAACCCCCTTCATTCGTGGGGTTTGCTCGCAGGGCTTCCTCTGTTCAACCTCAGAAGGTGATGTTGCAGGGCCGGCCCTCCCGGCAGGGGTTGCCGCGCAGCGGTGAGCCCAGGGCAGGGATGGGACCCATCCCAGCCCAGGGAGCCCTGAGAACCAGACAGCAGCCTGCTCGGGAGGGCGTCTGTGATAGTCAATTTAAAGCTTACGTTGGAACCATGACTTAATCTTGCTGAAAATAAGGATATTACTAGGCACTTCTCTGGTTTGTATAGGCATAGGACACCTGAGAAAAAGAGCCCATTTTCGAGAGATTCGAAATGTATTTCTCAGTCTTCCCTGCTTTTGGAGTCACTACGCAGGCACTGATATAATCTAGCTTCTTGTCCTCTTTCTGATATTGTAATGGCCACATGCACGATGTGTTCCTGGTTTAGTTCCGCAATGTTCAGCCTGACACTGCACCAGGGTTGGAAGGAAACAGGCGGGAGGCCTGTCCTGTGCCCCATGAGAAATACTCTGCCCTTAGGGCCCTCAGCGCCTATTTCCAGGGCCTGGGTGGCAAGGATGCAGGGGCAGGGGCGTCCGCTGCTGGGAAGGGGCTGTCTTCCAGCTCTGCTGGTCTCTGCTGTGCCCGCTTCCTTAAGCCCACAGAGAAGACACTGCTGACCCCTCTCCCACCTGCTCCCCTGTCCACTGGGAAGAGCCTCTCTCTCTCTCCCCCCCACCCCCCATACCTTTTCTCTCAAAGCAAAAGATACACATAGGCTTCCAGAAAATTTGAGCCAGTTCGCTAAGATTTAAATGGCAGGTTAAACCGTGCCTGTTTAGGGCAGAGCACTGGTCGCCCTGACCCTGGTTTGGCTGCGCACTTCCCTGGTGTCCTCAGGGGAAGGAGGCCTCTGCTCCTCGGTGGATGGCTTCTGTGGACGCTCCAGGCCTCTGCAGGGTGTCCATAGGAATGCGCCTCCCTCTCTCATGTTCCAGACTGTAGCATCGCTCCCTTGCACAAGGGACCATGTGCTAACCCCAGTCTGTACAAAATTGAGTCTGTAGTGTCCGCAGAGGTCCGTGGCATTTCCTCCCTGCCTTATGACTGTGGGTAGATTCCTTGGTGACCCAGGAGGAGAGCGTGCGCTCTGCTTTGGCCCAGGCCAGGAGGGCTCAATGCAGGCCGGAGGGTGCTGCCCGTCTGAGTTCCAGACCACTGTCTTCTGAACTCAGCCCCCTCTTCACTCAGGATGACTTCTCTTCCCTAACCGCTCTCCCCAGTCATAGAGTCCCCAGCCTGGCCTGGAAGACAACTTTATGTTTCCATCTGTTTGCACAGCATCGCTCTTATTTCTTATGAATGACTAAGCTTATGACACCAAGATGGTCCCTCCCCCCGCTCCGTCCCCAAGCTGGCTTTGCCACACTTTCCTACTCTAACAAACACTGAGCATGGGATGCGCCACTTGCACCGGTCTAAGCCCTCAGTTTCTCCACGGGGGTTGGGGGAGGCACGAATCACAGCTGCACAGACCTGCTTCCCAGCGCTGTGGGAGAATCTTGTAGTAGAATAGGGAGAAGAAAGCTGAGGTCACCTCCTGGGACATTCAGGATGTTTACAGAGCTAGCTCCTCCAGTCCCACGTGTCCAAACAGACTGGACACATGACCTCCCTTTGAAATAAAATCATTTAAAAAAGTGCACAGTGAATACTTCTTTGGAGCCCTAGAATAGTCATTTTTTCCCCTTGGGGTCACCAACTGTTTGCTCTCAATTCTGGAGTGTCCACTGGTGAGGTTTGCTGGGCCCTTCCTAGCGGGTTTTGTTCTGACCTATGTAAGCTTCAGCTTTTTCTTCTTGTCACCCTGCCACATTCTAGCATTGGAGGGGCTTCGTTCCCTTCCTGTCTGTTAGCACCTACCCTGAGTTTTACTGTATTGTTATTGCCCATTAAACTGCCTTCCTTCTCTGATAGATAGCATCTCTTATGTGTAGAGTTCAGATACCCCTAAAAGTATTTCATTAACGTCTTGATCAAATGGCAACACAGCATCAGAGCTCAAGAAAACGTAATCGAGATGTGAGTGCCGGCTGAAACCAGCTCATTATGTGGTGGTGATAAATATGAGGTGTTCCTATGTTTCCTCTCCCCCTTGGTTAAAATGCTACTGTAAACATTACAAGTGATTTGATCCACTTTTTGCTTTCAGGATTTATAAAACCCAAAAGGCTACCTTCTTGTGCCCCTCACCTCTGCATCCAAATATCTGACAAATATCCGCATGCCCGATACTTGATGGAGAGGCAGGGCCCCATCTTGCCAATGGTGGGAAACTTGTTCTTGTTTTTCTCCCATCAGCCACAGAGAGGACCTCCCCCCGCCCCAGCATCTTCTTTGCCCCAACTGCAGGCCTACCTGCTTTCCCATGGTGCCTGGCTCTGAGCCAGCCCTCAGCTAGTAGGGACATATGATCCAGAAAACCAACCTAAGCTAGATGTTAAAAAGGGGCACACTGAGTGTAGAGGTGTCTTCATTGGAAGCGAGGCCCTGACGGACATCATCACGATTCACTGGCACTTCTCACCCGTCTCTTTGTGGGCTCACCTGGATGAGCCTCCTCTGTCCCCTCAAGGTGATCAGGCTAGGCTGTGGCTCTGTGGGAAGGCATTTTGGATGATAATGGGTCATCAATGTAAAATTATTACTTAGATTTTAAAAGCATAGTTTTGAAGAGAAAATTTTGCTCCAGGAGAGCAAGTTTCTGTTGAGAGAACGTCTGACCTGGAGTGGGGGAAAATACTAGGAGCAAAGAAGTAGGTCAACATCCTTGTGAATGGAAGGGTTCCTGCCCTCACTCCACTTCAAGCCCGAAGGAACAAAGGAATAAATTCGGCCACCTCCAGGCAAACCCTAAGAACTTTCAGGACACAACACAATTGCACATAGATTTTTTCCCCCGGACACTTCAAGTTTTCAAAAGTCAAGAAGGATTTCTAATTTGCATAAAATGCACTGAGCATCCATTCATCCATTTGGTTAACAATTGTTCCTTGACCTTCTAAGCCAGTTTTGCCTCTCACTGGTTGTTGCTTAACTTCGCTTTGCCTCAATTTTCTCACTAATAAAGTGAGGATGTTCATACTACCTGCCTAACAAAGGTGTTGGGAGGTGTACAGGGGGTGGGTTGCTCACAGCAATGACAGACCCACAGTAAGCGCCCCTTAAATGTGAATGAGCATTTCCTGGTATGAATTCTATGTGGCAAACTAGGCTGTGTGCAAGGACACATGCAATGGAGAGTGAGAAAAACCCCACAGATGCTACCTCTGCCCTTAGCTAGTGTACCTTCTAGTGGTAGATCGGTAAAAACATGAAACTCCTAAAGCACAGAAGTGCGTACATACACGAGACACAGGGAGGGAGGGTCTGATGATAGACAAGACTAAGGTAAGGCATCTGTTTTTGGGTATTCCGGGCACTCTAAGTTCAGTTCTAGGGTATAATGGTGCGTCTCTATCATGGGGCACAGACCCTTCAACTCAAAACTCACTTTCCTGGGCAGAAGTCCTCCCTCACTTCCCTGGGCCAAGACAGTTAGTCTCTTCTCTGGATTTTGCAACATTTTCACTAACGTTTTCATGCTGAACTGATGCCAGCTTGGAGCAGGGCTCTCCTCCCCGCCGGGCTTGACCAGCCTGAGGGCATCTCCGCATCCTCGGCCCCTAAGGCCTAGCCAGTCTTATGGAATGACTAGTGTAGAGCGTTGTACTGTACCCTGTGTTTTTATGGGGCAAAGCATCTGTAGAAATTCCACCTAGGATGTGTGCTGGGCAGAGGTGATGCTGTTGTTCCTGCTTTCCTGGTAAACTAGAGTTCACTCCCACCTGCTGGACTTTCAAGGAGAATCTCCCTATAACCTAAAGTCCTCCACGTACTGAGGAGAATCTCTGTAACCGATACTGCTTCGCATCCAGGTGTGCCACCAGGTGTGGTAAATATTGTGTTCGGCACAGGGCCCAGGGTAGGCGAGGCCCTGGTGTCCCACCCAGAGGTGGCCCTCATCTCCTTCACTGGAAGCCAGCCCACGGCGGAACGGATCACACAGCTGAGCGCTCCCCACTGTAAGAAGCTCTCTCTGGAGCTGGGGGGCAAGAACCCTGCCATCATCTTTGAGGATGCCAACCTGGAGGAGTGTATCCCCACCACCGTCAGGTCCAGCTTTGCCAACCAGGTATGTCCTCTGGGTTGTCTGTTTGCTTGTTGGTTGTTGGTTTTAATTCTGCTGCCCTGCCAAGCAGGATCTGTTTCAGCAAGGGCAAGGCCAGGAGTGAGAAGGTTAATTCAACACTATTTTAATGAAAAAGAGTCGTTAAACTTGCGTTATTCCTTCTGTTCAATCTAAGCATCAATCTGTGATCTTACTGGGTCACAGCTTCTGTTCAGTGAGCTCCTTTCCTTGAGCTACACAGCTTTTATCAGGGAGCCGCCATGGGCAGAGTGATTGATTTTTGCTCCTCCAAGCATCTCCATCCTTGTATTCATAGAGCTGTGCTCCCAGGTTCTCCTTGCTGTCTAGATGTCCTGCTTCCAGGAAACCTTATTCTCTTCCCCACAGCATGCCATGTGCATTCTCAAACATAAAAACAAGTACTGGAATCAGTCTAGAGCTGGTTTCTTACCTTAAAGTCATGGATGAACTTCAGGACAACTTTGCATCTCCTGGAGCTGTAGCAGATGTTTTCCTGGGGTCCATAGTTCTCATCAGAGTCCTCAAGTCCATAGCATCCTAAAGGGTGAAGGACGCAGGATCCGACAGCCTAGCCTGTAGGCTTCCTGAACAGGGCCAGTGCGCCTGCGCGTGTGCAGCACATTCGCCTCAGTGCCCAGGACAGCGCCAAGGATGGGGCAGGTGTGCGTAAACACCGGTGCCTTCATCCAAAGGGTGTCTTTAAAAACTTTTATCAAAAAACAAAGACTTAAGCTAAAGAGTTAGAACTTCCATAGAAAGGAAGATGGGTGGAATGAGCTATATCTTTATTTAACTCAACCTGGATAATTTGTATAACCTGTGGAAATGTCCTTTCTGTACCAGTAAGTTATGGAAATGGCGCTAATAATGTCTTCCAATAATATTTTTGTGAGTTTGGAGTGGAAAACACTCCTTACAATAATTATATTCATGATCATTGTGATTGTGATTATTTTTCTCACAGAAATTCCTAGACCAAGTGGCTTAGAAATACATACAGACAGACTATATTTCTAAGAACTATTGCTTATATTTCTTATATATATATAGTAGCAGGTGCTCAGAGTGCAGCTTGACCTACCCAAAGTGGAGTGTGCCCTCCAGCCATGCCCTTTTCCTCCTGTGTCATTCTTGGCAGGGTGAAATCTGCCTCTGCACCAGCAGGATCTTTGTCCAGAAGAGCATCTATAGTGAATTTTTAAAGAGGTTTGTAGCAGCTACCAGGACGTGGAAAGTTGGCATTCCCTCGGACCCGTCGGCCAGCATGGGCGCTCTGATAAGTAAAGCACATTTGGAGAAGGTACGCAAGTCTGCCGTGCGCGTGACAGAACGCGCTCTTACTCGGAGAGAAGCTCAGTGTGAGGCTTAGCGCACGTCCCCGCTTGGAAATACTGTCAGTTACTGCCTTATTTTTGGACAATTGTGTCTCTGGATACAGAGTCTAAAAATGTTGGCTATGAATAGTCCAGAATTAAAACAGCTCTGATGTAAAACAAATGCTCTGGAGAAGTGAGCACGGAGTTACCACCAGAAGAGTGAGAAAGGCCATTTTGAAAGCATAAAGGCCAAAATGATGGGGATTAATGGTGGCTAGAATGTCTGTCAGTAAATGTTCCCAGAGGAAAGGGACCCCTCTGGCTTAGAGCAGATGGCATTGCATAAGTGCCAGGGCACGCATTCCAAATAGTATGGTCTGCAGCTGGTGGAGTGCCTAGAGGTGGCCTGCGTGGGAGAAGCCATTGATGGTCTTGGGTGGCTTATGGAATTTAGATCTCTAAGGTCTTTTCATTATCTGATGGGGCGCCTCCCAAAATAAGCCATAGATTTAGGTACTAGAAGGCTCTTGTGTTCAGCTGCAGTAACTAGGGCTCACCAAGGACAAATACGCCTCCACCAGTCAGCCAGTAAGGGGCAGAGCTTTTACGCAAGTTTGCAGACATACCTAACACAGCTCTGACTTGGTGGACTTACCCCATTTTAACTTCGACCTTCACCATATTGTGAAGCATGGATGCTCACAGGTGGGGAGGTAATGTAGGTTGATGGAATCTTCTTTTTTTCCTCTTTCTTAGCAGAGCAGGTGAGGCGAGGGGAAGGTGTTGGAGGTTTCGGGAGGGAGGAGTTGGTGTGGAGCAGCCTGGTAGGAGATCATTGGAGAGAATGGACTTGGAAAGGACTGTGCAATCAGCAGGGCAGCGCCAAGGGCTCGCTGAGGCTTGTGGTCACCCACTTAAAGCATGGCTGTGTTTTCCTCCAGTCAAGTTCACCCGCGAGATCCCAGGTGCATAGGCAGCAGCCGCCAGAGTGCCCACGGGACCTGCAGTTTTGGGTGCTCCCCCCCATAGAGTGAGGAAACACCAGATGCAAGAGGCTTCGTTGCCCTCTCCTGTCTGACTGTTCTGGACCCTAGGCCTCTGTGCCTGCCCACCCTTCGCCTGCATGTAACTGGTGAAAACAATGCAAACACATGCCGAATGCTTCGTGTGCAACAAAAGTTAACTTCCAGAAGTAACTTGCAGTGGACTCAGGGGTATGGTGCAGCCTGAAGTGACCTTTGCAATTCACTACTCACCTGAGGATCCAAGTTCTCTTTATATCAAATCAGCAAAGAAACTACTTTTTTCTGTCGTAGGCCGTTATCACTATTTAATTTACCCAAAGAGGGCGGTAGGTCAGTGAAGCAAATCAAAGTATGTGAGTTTTCTGTGGGCTTTCATGTAATAGTTTTGACGCTCAGCATGACCCTGTCTGGCCACGATGGCCCTCCCTGTGGCCTGCCTCGCTGTCCTCCTGAGCTCTACCCAAGGCTGCCTTGTGGGCCTCTCTGGCCTCCGACAACAGGCGGCCTCAGCCATCTGAGCTGCTCTTCCGCACATGGGCAGTAGGACCTGTCTCTATTGAGCCCTGGCTCCGTTCAGTGCAGAAGAGTAATCAAGGCCAGCATCTGACTTTGTAGGTGTCCGTTAGACGATGACAGTATTCAGAAGGAGACGGCTTCAAACCTGGTTGTGCTGAGCCCGCTCACTGCCCTTTTGAGAGGGTTCTGTGTCCATGTGATGTTTCCAGATTAGCCAGGTTACTTTTTAACCCTTGCTTCAGTCTCATGATTATCTGATACATCTGAGGGTGATGCATCATGTCATATAGGATCATACCTCATCTCACTCACAGTCAAGCCTGAGTCTAGAATGACCCAGGAGACTGTCCCCAGTTACCCTGTCTCCTTTGCCTTCCCTTGGTCCGCTGCAGCATGCTGGCCTCCCTATTCTTCCTTGAAAATATCAGCCCCCTCCTTCCGTTTGGCCTTAGCTCTTGCTGCCCATGCCCCCTGGAATGCTCTTCCTTCAGAGATTTGCTTGGCTCTCTCCTTAGATCAAATGTTACCATCCGAACAAGCGATTGCCTGCTCACCTTGTATAACATCACACCCCGCAGAACTTCCTCTACCTCTTTGCTGCTTTATTTTTCTCCATGACTCTTACTACCACCTGACATATACTATATGTAATTTATTCCTTTATTGACTCTATTTCGTTGGCTAGAATGCTAGTTTGATGGTCAGTTTTACTCACCGCTAGACCCTTAGATCCTAAAAAAGTACCCAGCACATAAGAGGTATATGGTATTTTTGGATAAATGATTGAATTAATATTACATCTTGTGTTCTAGTTACCATATAATCCCCAAACTTGAGGATTCCATTTTCTTTGAACTCTTGAACACAAGCAGGGAACATCTGGTTTCACTGGTCATTAACTCATAACAACAATAAAATGTCCATATAAACACATACAAGCCTTGGAGGTTTTGCTTAAGGCTCTCCTTTAACTCTTAACTCTTCATCTTTCCATTGGTTATTTCTGCTTATTTCAGAGACAGCTTTAGAATTCTAGCTTCTAGTTTCTTAAAAATATTCGGGTAAACATTTGGTGTTTAATACCTCAATATTAGGAAAATCCAGCTTCTTAAAAGACAACTAAGAATTTCAAAAAATAGAGACTTCCATTCAAGATGGCGGATTGGTAAACACAGCTTACCTCCTCACACAACCACATGAAAATTACAACTAAACTACAGAACAACCATTATGCAGAACCACCAGAAATAGAGCTGAATAAAAGTCCTACCAATATGGAATTAGGAGACACCACATCGAGATGAGAATAAACATTTTTTAAAAACATTCTCTGGAAAAAAAAAAGAATTTCAAAAAAATATGATCAGATGATTTTCTAAATTCATTAGAGATTTTTATAGCATTATTGTAAAAAGGCAAGTGGAACATTATCTGTATGTCCACATTTCCCCCGGAATGTTCTTGTTTTCTCAAGAATCAGCTTATACAAAGGTACCAAAAAATTTCAATTGTAACACATTTTGGTTGAAAAGCACATACTTCTCCACATTATCAAACTTTTGTTTTTGGTGACTCTCAGTAGTTTTAATTCCCCCTAAAAGGGACACAGAGAAATTACCAGGTGGTAGTATCAAAATATTTTAGAATAAAATTTCCAAATTTCTTTTCCAGAGTAAAATATACATCTCAAACTTGGCGTCTTTGAGAGACTCCACTGAGAAGGCCCCAATGAATTCTCTCTCGTATGTTGGTGGCTAGGGTCTAATGACAGTGATCCCTGGGCATGCACGGGGTGTCCTGGTGGACCCTGAAGACTTACCTGCCCAGACTGAGAATATATCGAGGGCAGGTGGGAATGGAGGCCTCCTTTAGCACGCGTGTGTCCCCTTAGCGCCTGTGCGCTGACAGGAAGAACGCACCACCTGAAGGCCCTGGGGGGCCCCAATGCCAGGCCCATCTCCTCTGCCTCAGCCCAGCTCCCCGTGCGGGTTTTGCCAAGCGACCTAGTTCTCCTCTGAGTCGAGGCTAGAGTATGAAGGGAGGGGCTGGTTTCCCCCTCCTCCCGCCACCTTGGCCTTTTTGGATTATGACTCTTTTCAGTTCAGTCTGCTAAAGCTTCTGGGATCAGGAGGCAGTGGACACCTTTCCTTGCCTTTCACTGGGAAGCTTTGGGGGCTGTGTGTCGAGGGAGGTCCGTCTGCCATCGTTGCGTTCCTCGTCTCCCCTTCCACAGTGTGTCCGTGTCTTCTCCAAATCACACCAGCCCTGTGGAGTCTGGGGTCTTTGTGTCCATCCTATGTCCGTGCGATAGTCACGAGAGCTGCTGATGCAGTGACGGAAGAATCCCAGTAGAACACACAAATGTTGCTTTTTCACTGAAAAGGGCTCAGGAATTCACTGAGATGCAGCATGCTCCTAGGTGGGCCTGTCAGCTCCCAGCTTCCCAGTGACTGCAAGGGATGCACAGAAAATTGCAGGTGACACAGTCCTCAAGGGATGAAGGAAAGCCTCCCTGGCCTATTTCAGAGAGTTGCTTTTTCTTTTTCTTTTTACCCTCCCGAATACTTCCCCACTTGGCTGGCTGGAGAATCTGGCCTGATACCTGCCTCCCCACAGATGCAGGTACCTAGTGAGATAGAATTTCTGAGTGTTTACAGTGAGGCTGCAGGGAACCCAGAGGAAGTCCACAGGTGCCTCCCCGAGCAGGACCAGGCTCTAAGGTCCACTCTTGCCATTTCCTATCTCCTTTGTCAGCTAAACAAAATGATGCACAGGGTGGGGGACACCTCTGAAGTCTCTCAGCTCATAAGTGTCAGATCATGCATTATATTATCATCTTCATCTACAGCAACAACAGCTGCCGACATGCAAAAGACTTACCATGTACCAGGAATTATGCTAAATGTTACACACTTTATTTAATTCAATAAATAGGTGGCAGTGTTAATCTTATTTTTCAGATGATTTAACAGAGGCACACAACATTTAAAATCCCTTAGCTGGTGAGTAATTTGAACGCAGTTGGGCTACTAAGCACTAAGTATTCTCTGCTCAAAAGAAGTTTTATAATAGTAATTTACCACCTTGTATAGCATCTTACGAGTCACAATTTTCTTTTCAGATTTTACTGAAAATCTCAGTTCCTGAGCTGCTGCTATTGCACATCTCATTCTATCATTCAGTGATACCTTCTCTAGAAAGTAAATGAAGTTGAGTAAGAGTCACCTTATACATTAACTATTTGGATAAATTCACTATTTGAAACTGACACGTCTCTTCATATTTGATTATCCCAAGAGTTTCTAAGAGACAATGATGTAATTGTGTTTAGGTGATAAAGGAAAGCTGGAACACTCCTTAAATTGTTGGAATTGTGACAAATGTCCTGGAGAGCTTGCCTAGACTTCCTTTGTCCAGGATGTTGCTTTTGGCATTTTTTGATTGATGTGTGTAGGTTGTTTCAAAAGGAGCAAGAGAGTAGGGTGAAAGAGAAGTGCGAATCTATTTGAATCTCTACCCACACACAAGTCTAGGGTTTTTCTGGGAGAGCTTTGAGATCATTGTGCGCGCTAGGGGAGGAGGTGGAGCGGAGGGGAATACAGAGCTGAACCAAATGTTCTATTTTTAAAGAGTCTGACTTCATGACTTATTAAGTGCTCTACAAATTGAAGCAAACTGAATAATCAAATACCATTCCCATTTTTATTTTTCCATGGCAAACATATAGCTCTGTATTGGCTATAGTTCTATGATGGAGTACTAATTTCATACTGGGACAGAATCCTCAGACAGCAAAGGATGAGGAGGAATCCAAGGGCCATTTCAAAATTTACCATGCCTTTGATGTGCTACTTGACTCTTGTTCTCTACTTTTAATTTTGGGGATTGTTATTTTTTTATTTCTCCCATGCTTATAACACAACTCCAAGGTAGAACCATCTATCATTATGACTTAACCAATATTTTTATATGTAAATGTATATAATTGTTATAGTCATTTCTACAGCCAGTAGTAATAAATACCTGTCATTATGTCTGAGTCACTGGGTTAACTTACTGCCTAATTCATTTCCCATTACAATTAGTTATACTGTATTACCTATCAGTAATGAGACTAGAGATTAGAAATTATTTGTTGTGGAAGCTGAGGTAGGTTAAAGGCATCCTGACCTTTAATTAAATCTTGAACACCATTCAACTCCCCACTTTCTGCAATGGCCGTAGCCCCTCGAAGAGTGAGAAAATATTCTTTTGTGTATTTAACTATTGAATATGCCTGACTGTGAATTCTAGTTTTCCTGTTCTATGAAATGTTTACCCTTTCTGAGGCTCAATTATATCTTCAGCAAGTAAGGGGATAAGAATACCTAGCTAACAGGCTTTGCAGAGAATTAAGTAAGAGTATATAAAAAGCACTTATCTGACAGAGGGGAGAGGTGAGAGGAGTAACGGGGAAAAGAAGGGGAAGGGCCAAGTGAAGGAGCATGTATAAAGGCCCTGTGGTCAAAGACAAGGTGGGGGAGGATTGAATGTGGGAGGCGGGAGGTGGGTAAGGCAGGTGAGAGTAATGGCGGCAAAATGGGGACAACTGTAACTGAATAACAATAAAATACTTTTTAAACAAGCACTTATCTGAGTGACTGTCACTTGGACATTAAAGAAATTACTTGCTCCTTTTCCATATGAGGGCTGAATGCCCAAGTGACTAGTTAGCGCACTTTTGCCCCTGAGTCTTAGCAGCTGAGTGATAAGATAACCTCAGATTTCTCAGCAATGACCTCCTACGTCTTTCCTGGATGATTTGCAAATACCGAATTTTTTGTTGCTTTGTGTGAAGGCAAATGGTAAGTTGTTGCTAATCATGGTTTTTACCCACACAGGTCAGAAGTTACATCAAGAGAGCTCGTGCCGAAGGGGCCCGTGTTGTGTGCGGTGAGGGAGTGGATACTTTGAGCCTCCCCCCGGGGAATCAGGGAGGCTATTTCATGCTTCCCACTGTGATAACAGACATTAAGGATGAGTCATGCTGCATGAAGGAAGAGATATTTGGTCCAGTGACGTGTGTTGTCCCGTTTGAGAATGAAGAGGAAGTGATTAAAAGAGCCAACAGTGTTAAATATGGGCTGGCTGCGACGGTGTGGTCCAGCAATGTGGGGCGTGTCCATCGGGTGGCTAAGAAGTTGGAATCAGGCTTGGTGTGGACCAACTGCTGGCTCATCAGAGAGCTTAACCTTCCTTTCGGGGGGATGAAGAGTTCTGGCATAGGTAGGGAGGGAGCCAAGGACTCTTATGAATTCTTTACTGAAATCAAAACCATCACCATTAAGCACTGACCGTGGCCACTGGAGAATTTGTTGTGGCTACAACAGTTAGTGGTCCAGTCTGGCAAATGGAAATACTGGCATCAGATTGAGCCGGGTCTTGCCTCAGCAGGATGTTCTCTCTAGCTTATCCCCAGTAGTTAGTGTTTTTACCTGCAAGTGAAGAGATGCTGTCTATTCTTAAGGTGAAGGCAAAGAAAAGGCGACCTCTGCATAGGAAGACACAAAAAGGAAGCCAAACGATTGTCAGGCTCTTCCTGTGCTGTGTTTTCATGTGATTTAAAAAAATCATTTTGATCAGCTTCTTGGAAATTCACAGATAATCAGATTTTTTTTTGTTTGCACATGGATGGTTTAAAAAACATCTGCAAAGTCAAAGAGAGACCAATCACCATAGTTTCCGACCTTTGGGGAGATTGTCAACAGGATCCCTGTCCCGTAGCCAGCAGCATGGCTAATTGTGAATTGACTGTGCTTCATTATGCAAGGAGACCATGAATGTCAATGATAAATGCAGCATGGAATTTGGTAGAGAAGGCATATATGGTAGCTCCCAATAAAGGTATCTGTGGAGGACAGCGAAGGCTGCCGTCAAAAGCCAGGTTAAGTGCCTGGTAAGGCCACACTTGACCGTTTGCATCTGCAAGGCAGAGCAAGCTGGCAGCTGATGGCAGCCAGAACCCGGGGGCAGGGGGTGGATTGAGAAGGAAATAGTTAACTGCAAGTTTCAGCTGCATACCACTGCAACCTTGGCAGAAGAAAGCTCTATCATGTAGATAACCTGGGAATGGAACAATCCATGCCCGCAGTGCTCCATTAAGTCTGTAAAACTCCCTTGAACTTTGAGCTTTGTCTAACCAGCCTTCAAAAAATAAATGTGGAGACTGTGTTCAGGGTCATTGTCTCTCCATCCGAGGACAACGCCCCACCTGGTGTCCGCTTCTTCTTAAACTGTGTGTGTTGTCTCTCAATCTCCCACCACCCCTCCTCAGGGACCTCCACTACACACCGGGCATGGCAAGTATCTGTAGAAGCACAAACAAAATGACATATAGAATGAGAATTCTATATGTCACATAGAATGAGAATTTAATCCATTTGGGAGACACATAGAATGAGAATTTAATCCATTCGTACTGGGGAGCCTAATCAATTCTTAGTGTGTACCTAATGAGACTTACAATTTACTAATCCTAAAGAAAGCAAGAAATGTTAAGCAATCTTGGTAACCACTATAGCATATACCTCCTTTTTGAATTGTCCTTTTTTCCTTCTTCTCCCCATCCTCTTAGGAGTATGGACTTATACTAAGGAATCATGGTATTTCCAGTGCTCTTTTTTTTTTTTTTTTTCTAGATGCCCTGGATATCAGAGGAGAAGCTGAGGTTTACAGAGATTAAGTTGCATGCTCGAAATCGCACAAAAGTTGTGAGGCAGAGGGAGGGCTGACTCCAGGGCTCTGACTGCAAAGCCATGATCTCTAGCCTTTTCACACCTGCCTTGGATTGTGCTCAAGAGCAGCCAAGTACTGTGGTTCTTGGAACACATCACATTGGGTCTCCCTTCCTTGTCTCCTCCTGCTTTGCCTCTTCCCCCGTCTCTTCTGCTCCACTCCACTCAGCCAAGCAACCCAAGGATACCTGCAGCACAGCCCTTTCCACGCTAGCTGGAATGGTCCATTTGCATGCCCGCCTCCTCAACAGGACAGGAATCACCGATGGCCAAGGCAGGCGTTTATCCACCCTGAAGTCTCAATTCACAACACATTGCGTGACACATAAATGTGCTCAAAACAAGTGTTGGAAATGGAACCAGGTCTTCCTGGAGTTCTGGGGTATTTGTTGCATAGTATATGGGGGAGATGAGTAGGGGAGACAGATCGATGTTTATAATTCTGCATTGGGTTTTGGATATGTGGGCTTGATCACAAATGCTGAAAAATATAAGCCCCCTTGAAGTCAAGTGATTGTGTTGGATCCTATCTGGTTCCTGGCTTCAATTTTCCCTCCCCCCTCCTTTCTTCACCTCCCCTCTTCCCCAGCTGAGGCCTCTCGATCTTGATTAATTAAACCTAAGACCAGTTCTGAGTATCAGCAGGAGGAATTTCAGCAGCTCCAGTCTCTAAGAATCTTCATTTTAATTCTTGTGATTGGTCTGCCCCAAGGTCATGGTTACTTCTCAGGTCTGAAAGCCGTATCTTGATTCCAAATTCTGTCAACTGAACCTCATTGCTCCCTGTGCCCAGACACCCATATCCCACCACATTTGTCTTCTGCCTGGGCGACTTTTCCTCAAGGATTTGGAGCCAGCCCTGCTCTTTTCACTTCCTGTTCAGGCTCTGGACCCTCCCTTGTGAAGGGTCTTGCTTTCTGATGACAGACATTCTGGGGGGATGCCACTTCCCCACTCCTGGGTCTCTTGGGACCTGCAGAAGCTCCTCCTAGGCTCACAAGGCAGTCTGATTAACACATGTGACCAGATGCTGTTCTCGTCATGCCAGCACCATCCCAGTCCTCAGCCGGGAAGACGGTGGCTATGATGTCTTAGCAGCTCAGTTGGACCTTTCCTCATTATGTCTAGCCCATACAAGTGGGCGAATGGAGTTCCAAGACCTTACCTGTCCCAGCCACCTCGTACTGTTTGAGTCCCACATCAGCTGAAAGAGCCCTTTAAGTCTGTGCCTACACCAGGACCCGGACCCTCTGGGGGGTGCCACCACATCTGCGGGGCTGCCGGGGCCGCTGCCTTGCTGTGCTCAGAAGCGAACGATCTGGGGTGGGGGAAGGGCCTCAAAAGTTTCAATGGTATTTACAAAGTTTCCTTTCTAAGCTGGATGAGGGGCATGTGGGTGTTTACTATTGCATAGAGAAGATGTGCTTACACAGTATGTTTTTTTGTTAAGAAAATGAGGGATCGGTCAAAGACCATCAAATATTTGGTAAAAGAGAAATTCCAAAATGTGTGGAAGAACAACTATCCATGGGAGAAACAGATAAAAAGAAGAAATAGGGCATTAAAAGCTGAATTAGACTCCTGAGAGAGATTTGAGAGGACAGTGTGTTCATACAGAAGAATAGACTACTATGAAGAAGGCTCCAGCAAGGAATAGGAAGGATTCCTTGAAACATGGAACATTGGTTCCCTAAATGCATTTTAAAAATCAGTTGAATTGACTCATTGGTATGGCTGAAAACTAAATTAGTAATATGGAAGAGAAAGTTGAGAAAATAGCTCAGAATGTAGAGGATGACAAGAAGGAAAACTACCAGGAAGAAGTTGAGATGGAGGATAGACCTAGAAAGCTATTAATATGTAACTAACCCAAGATGGTAGAATATAGGTGAATAGTGAAATAAATAATAAAAGATAATTCTCCTGAACTGAAAAAAAAAAGAGTTTCAGATGGAAAATATTCACCATGTGCCAAGAACTCTCCTGTTGAAAGAAAAAAAATTCCTAGTGAATTCCTAGTGTAGCTCTGACTGGTATGGCGCAGCGAGTCAGGCACTGTCTGGCAAAGCGAAAGGTCGCAAGGTTCTCAGTCAGGGCACATGCTTGGGTTGCAGGCCAGGTCCCCGACTGAGGGAGGGCATAGAGAGGCAACCCATCAATGTTTCTGTCCCTCTTTTTCCCCTTCCCTTCCTCTCTCTCTAAAAATAAATACATAAAATCTTAAAAAGAAACCTTAAAAATGCCTAGTGTAAAACTCGCAGAGAGAATTAACAGGATACCTGCAAAAATAAAAATAAAAAGCATAAAATTGTCATCACACTTTCTGTTAACAATAGTGACGATAGAAGACAGTGGAGCAAGGCTTTAAAATTCTCAGTAAAAATGATTTTCAACCTAAATTTAGCCAGAACCCTGTTAATCAAGAATTAATGTGAAAAGAAGTCATCTAATGACTCAGAAAGTTCCTCCTATTTATTCTTGCTGGTATGACTTGGGGATGTAATGCAGGAAAAGTAATGCAACAAATAGAAAAATTGCCTCAGGAATAAAATGAAAGGAAGTGTCAAGTTGTTAGCTGCAAAACAGGCCTATAAAGCAACTGGCTTACATGAAAGACGGGAAGCAGGAGGTCGTGATTAAGGGAAGTTGATTTTTAAAAATATGTTTAATTATCTGAAAAATCATAGATATGTAAAAATGAACATATATGTCTCTTCTATCCATTAAAATAAAGTTAAAGGTGTTCAGAGTTATGATAAGATGAAGCAAACCGAAATGTGACATGACTTAGAAAAATAGAAGAAGTGTAAGTAAAAGGAATCCATTTTTAATCATTTTTTGGATGCCTATTTTTAGTAACATAAAATCTCATTCTCACCTTTATGGGCCTTACTCGATTCTTACGCAATTAATATCTATATAATCTTAATAGTATAAATGTGTCTTACTGGTTTTTCATTTTTTAAGTTACGTGATACACAAAGTTCAGAAAACCAACTTAAAATTATGGTATAGAGTGCAAAGGATATTGGCCTGGAGGACGGTATTCGTCAGCTGGCAGGGTGGGCAGAGGAAAGGGAGGGGGCCCAAGGTTGTAGGCAGTGAACTGCTTGGCTCACCTTAAGAAAAGGGAATGGGTTGATAATGGTAGAAACTGATGAATCAAGAAGCAGGGATTTATACATATTAAAGTTATGCATGTAAGCATTAGAGACTTTAAAACTAGAGATCTTAAAATGGTCGTGTAACTCCTAAGAACGGGAAGGTGAAATGCAGGCAGCTGAGGTGTAGGGAAGTGTACCGAATTCACACTTCTGAAGGGGATGAGGCCAGAAACACCAGCGCTCACGTATGGGTTAGTTCCTTGGTGTAGAACACCTACAACCAGGACTATTTAAAAATCGGTTACTTCTGGGAAGTGGAACTAAAGTTGGGAGAGGGGGTGTTGAATGTAACAGAGACACGTTTGAATCACTCGGTATGCTTTGAGTTTATTTTTTGCACATGTTGTGAACAGCCTTTTATAAATAATAATATTTATATTTAAAAACCCTTCCAGTGAAGTTTGTCACACATGTGGGAATGAGGAAAGATGTGCTCCATGCTACCCAAGGGTAGTCCAGGTCTCTAGCACTCTGTCCCCAGTTGCCGTAAGAGAGCTGAGATCACCGGAGATCTTGGGAGACCCAGACTGGTTGGAGAGAACCTGGGAAACCTGCCCCAGGCTGGGTCAAAGGAGGAAGGTGTCCTCCTGTGCCCCAAGGGCTGCCAGTCTGCTCAGCAGGAGGCCCTCAGAGGCCACCCAGGGACCCCTCTGCCCACTGCGCCTATTCTCTCCCTCCTGCCTACACAGGGAGGGTGAGAGGCCAGTCCAGGAAAATTCGCCACATCACATTGGATGATCCCCTAAACCTGAGCTCTGGCTTTGAAAAGCAAACTCCAAAGCTGGGGTCCTTTTTTGCTTTGAGCTGGCTATCTCCTGGGAATATCCGGTGTCCTTTTTTTGGAAGTGCTTGCAGCTGCCTGTGACCCCTGGGTGTGTCAGAGCCCAGCCCTTTACTTCCGGCTTTGCAGAGGAGCGTTGCAGGGTTAGTTTTAGGAAGACATTTTGTTCATGGGTGTCTACAGCAAGCCGTCTGGGATGTGCCCCAGTGCCCTAACATCACCCTAACAGCAGTCCCGAGCATTCACCTTGCCTGTCTCTGTTGCCACGCTTGTCAGCACCCTCGTCAGGGCTGACTCCCCCAGGGCATGTGCAAACTCTTGGCGTCACTACTCTGAGGCTTCGGCCAAACCGGTGCTAGGCACCTCTTCAGGGGAGAGTCATGTTTCCCATGGGCGCTGACCATTCATCCAGCGTCAGGAATTTGCCTGATCTTGGCTATTGGCCGAGGATATACAATCTCCGCGCTGCTTACGCTTTCCCACTCCACCCTCATCGCTTTCCTCACCCACATCCCTCAGTCCAGTCTTGGTTCAGGAAATAT